TTTAGAGTCCATTTATTTAAGTCTTTTCCCTCTGTAATTATACCTATTGTTTCATAAGCGCTTTTCTTGTCATTTCGTTGCCGCCTTCTGTCGCTCTGTGTTGCCTGTATAATTTATCATGTAAGATAACCGTTTCCTTTTTTTTTCGTTAAGAGAAGTTGAGTAATGTTTCTGTGGCCGTAACAATGTAAGTATTTTACAGTCTTTTGTTCGTTATTTTTTTTTAGGTGGTATATTGTGTAACTAGGGTAACCGTTTGTTATTTTCTTTAGGTTCAACCAACGTCAGTCATAGAGTATTAAAGATCATGTTTGTATAAGGACGCGCAGTTGTCAATTCCAGCCACAGATTCCGCATAAATGCAGTTACAGTATGTACCTCGCACCAATCAGAGCGTCGTTCTTATTCTTTTGTTTGAGAGGTGTTCAAATTTCAACGAAGTAATGGAGGATGCGGCGAGAGCGGTTCGTAAAATGGAATCATCTTTTAGAGTGAGAAATGTTGGCTTTTCTTTGTTTTTAGCATGAATTTTACCGCGCTTCATGAGACATGCAATACTACTGGACAGAGGAAAGATATCACATTACCTATAGTAACCGTGTTACTCATGCTCAGATAATTGTTCGATAGAAAATGGAGTTCTGTCCACTGTAGCACGATCATGGTTATTGTTCCTTCACGACGAGAGTGAGTGGAAAAATTTTGAATCAAATATTGCTTGAGGTGGTGATGAATTGCACCAAACATTTTCACTTGAGCAGTTCTTTAACGGCAAGCTGTGTTGCAAGATTCATGATTTTTTGAGTGTGCTGATTATATTTTCTGGATTGGTTTGCTCGGTGCTATCTCAAGATGAATGTCTGTTTAAAATTAACTATGGACGGATTTGTGTATGTTTTCGATGCCTGGAGAAAGTGGTCTTGAAGAGTCGTTTGTGTTTGGCTTGGGACGAATTCAGATACCATCGTTAGTATGTTTATTTGATTTTGTTATCTGGAGTGAATGATTTACGGAGGTTTCTCGAATGTTGCGCGTGTTAAATAATCAATAGTGACATCTCATTTACATCTACATCTACTTTTATTACTTTGGTAAAACATATACAGACATCGCACCAACCAACTGGTGCGCAAAGTAAGAAGACCATACGAAGGGTTGAATTATATTACGATCGATTTTCATCAAGTGATGGACCAGGAATATTCCACAATAGTGCAAATAATCGTGAAAGCTGATCACGGCACAGGCGGCCCAAGCTCATGTCTCGAGAAAAAGCCAACGATGAATTCACGAACGCGTCACGCGTTGTGTGACTCGGTGTTAAGTTACGGGAGGAACCGTTGAAAATTTGAACGCGTTATAAGGAATAGTATGGGGAACGAAATATGGTCGATTTACAACGATAAATATTTCGAAATATGAATATTTTACACGTAAAATCAATAGAACTTACTCATGCCCTGTGTATCCGTCGTAGTTTCAGGCGATTTCTGCTGTTTTAAGCTTGCTTTACCGTCACTGTTATCCATGTCAAAAGACGAAGTCAATTGATAACAAGTTAGTGTTAATGTTGGGTTAGGGGAGGGGTAGGTGGGCAGTTGCCCAGATACTGATATTGATCCGCAAACATGGAGTCAGCATCGACTAAAGAAATTGGTCTCCAACTTTCTAAATACATTCGATCTTTACCTTTTTTATCAGTTAATGTGATAATTGCCTGTTTTTGTGAACTTGACATTTCTCCCGAGTCAAAAGAGCAGTTATAAGTATCCGTCATGAGCTCACCTACAGAACTCCAAAAAGTTTTATAAAACTCTGCAGGTATACCGTAATACCTAGAAGTCTTTCCTTTTTCAAAAGTATCCAGTGCTTTTACACATTCTTCAATAGTTATAAGTCCTTCACAACTTAGTCTATCTTCCTCAGATAATTTTGTAATTCTTGCTTGACCAAGAAAGTGTTTCAAAATATCAGGCTTCACCGTATTGACTTTCCGACTATACAGGTTTTTATGATATTTTGAAGACGAGTCCAGTCTTTTTTCATAACTCCACTAGGACAGAGTTTTCTAATAAGTTTCCTTATCTCGTTTCTTTTTCTCCAAACTTAAAAAATACTTTGTACTGTTTTCCCCATATTCGTGCCATCTTGCCCTTGAACGCACAATTAATCCATCAGCTTTCTCGCCAAAAACTTTTTCTAATTCAAGTTTACACTTGTTAAGAATCTCTTCAAATTCTTCACGAAGGTTCTGTTGAAATCCTATTTGTGCAACTTGGAGTTTCTTCTGCAGACTTTCCTCTTTCCCTCTCTTAATTTTAGCTAGCTCTTTTGCGTATTGTATCGAAAAAAGATGGACATTACTTTCAATCCAACCCCAAGCAACCCTTTTATCTGAGAATTCTTTCTCTTCATTTTTCCATACCTCTAAATATGTTTTCATTTGTTGAATAAACTTTCACGGATCATTCGGTACTTGTACTGCATTTACAGGAGGTTGAAGAGATTAAAAAGGTTCGGGATTCTGGAAAATAAACTCATCGCTTTTGTCAGACGAACTTCATCTGACAAAAGCGATGAGTTCATTTTCCAGAACCCCGAACCTTTTTAATCTCTTCAACCTCCTGTAAATGCAGTACAAGTACCGAATGATCCGTTTTAATGGCGGCTATGATGTCTACATTTTCAATCAGGTCTTGAAGTGTTTCTGAAATGAGCCAATAATATAATCTGTAAAAGATAAATGGAGATTTTTGAGACTACGAAAAGCTTTTTTTGTTGGGTTTTTAACCTTTCAAATATCATGCAAATTAAAGGTCATTCAAATTTCTTCAATACGTTCAACGATTTTCTTTCTGGTCCTTATTATCCCAACTTGTTTATTCAACATCGAATTCATAGGACGGTGAAAGTCCCCTCCTAAACTATCCTATTTTCATAAGTGAGGTCTTCTTTTTTCAGGACCGCAAGGAGATGATCATGAAATTTTGCAGCTTGATTATCACTGTTTGGACCGTAAACGTTAAACAGATGATATTTTTCATCGTTAATTTGTGCTTGAACACCAACATATCTGCCGGCAGGATCCACTAATTTTTGTTTTATATTACAATCAAAGCCATTATGTAATAAGATCGCAAGACCTCTTGCATTACTGCTCCCACGAGCGAGCTCTATAGGAGTGCCCCATTCAGCTTTCCATTGCTTCTCTTTATCGCGCGTGGAATGCGTTTCTTGAAGAAAAATTATATTTGCATTTTGTTTTCTACACCATGCAAATAATGAACGTCGTTTGTTAAAGTTACGCGAGCCTCTTACATTCAAAGATAACATTATGAAATCACAACTGAGAACCTAAGTAATTCGTCCTCAGTTATAATCTGAAGGGTGAGCAGTCTGTGCAAGGCTGCTAACAATTGATATAACAGATGTAAAGGTTAAGAAGGATCTGCAAAGTTTAACAATCAAGAGCTTCTTCAGTTGGTGATCATTTCCTATATTCTCGTGACCTTAATGTGTGATTCAGGGGTGATATTGTAAGGAGAAATTAAATTTTAGTCACTCTTACAGGGTCGAATGGTTAAATAAAAACGAAAGGTACTTGTAACGTGCAGTTTCGTTACCAGGTTTGTGAAGGTATCTTTGTGATGTGACTTCTAAATTTTCAACCCAACCAGCTGTGATGCAGCTCATTGACTCTGATTTTTGTGCAAGTTTTAAAGAACAGTAAATCGTCCTTTCGGAGACATTTTCTGGACCCATGTAAATAGAGGTTAGTTGGTTGAAATATGTCCCAGTCGATATTCCAAGCACCCAGTTGAATTATCCAAAACCAAGATCATTCATTAAGCAGCGAACGCTCACAAGCTTCAAGCCGACCGATTTTTAATAGAAATTAAAGCTAGAGTTATGCGAAATTTAAGCTAAATAGGGGGGTTCAGCTTATGGTCAAAAGTTTTGGAAAAAAAATTTAGCGCATTTCAACAACACCAAATGGGCATGTATTCATTTATAAGCCGAGCTAAGCCGAGAGTGCGCCTGAACAAAAGTCCGAATTGCATTGGCATCTCATCCATGTTAAAAATCCAAGACAAAAAGTAGTCCTGTTGCTGTCCTCTCCCCAAATGATTTTTAAAAACAAGCGATCAAAACAAAACTACAAGTGCATCGAGTAGATGTTGCAAACCGGAACAAGTTATACCTCTACACAATACTTCGGTATCATTTTGAGTGTACACTTAATCTTTAGTCACATATTGATTAGTTAAGGTGACCCTTTAAGGGAAATTAAAAGAGTACTTTTGGACCCAGAAAATGTTTTCTTGTCCCCGAGTAAGGTCTGGGTACGAGACTAGGTGTTCCTCCAAATGGAAGTGTCCTCGTCGGTTGAGTAGCAAATACAAACATTTCACGAACATTGTTCCGGGGCCAAAACTTTTGTTCCCTGAATGAAGGGATTTCCTGATCTATGGTGCCCCCTCCACGTTAGAATCGTAAATGAAATGGCAAATGATTTTGAAGGATGAAGACCAACTCTCTTGCACCCTTCAAAGATGACTATACAATTTATAATTCACCCAGTTTTGTTTGTGAAAGATTCTTAGGTGTTTATCCCTCTAGGGCGGTTGGACTGCTACACATTCTCTTATCCAACACGGAGGCATCCATTTACTTTCTTAATATAAATAGCCCATTTGGAATTTGTGCTTGGTTGCCAGGCCATTGAACAGGCGTGAGGCTAAGGGTGACCTTGTTATGATACCAACTACTTTTCAAATTTATATTACTTTGTTATCAAGCTAACTAGATACTGGTCTCTATCACACCAAGGTCACCTTCAGCCTCAATCAAAGGCTTGGCAACTACGTACACGACTGTAAAATGACCTATTGGACATTTTTCCGGGACCGAATTCGAAGTTGTGCCCCTCACCCTCCCCCCCATAGGTGTTCCAAACAAGAGGTTCAACGGTATTGAACGCGAATAATTTGCACAGTTTTAGCTTTCCTGTGAATGACCTTTATTCAGCATAAATTAGGATTTTTTAAAAACTACATTGCACCTTGTCTTGACGGCTACGAAAGCATTATACGGTAGCCTTCAAGATCAAGGACTGGGACAGGGATTCATCATCAAGGCAATATTTGTTGTCACTTTTCTCCTTCTTGTTGCTTGGTAAAAAAATATCTTATTTATTATTCCATCTATTATTCCATCTATTACTTACATCTATTTTACTTTTTTTTTTTGTTTGTATTGCACTACCTAACATGGTCTTTAAAATCTCTCTTACTTTAAATCTTAAAAGAAGCATGGCTTCATCATGACGTACTATTATACAACAACGCGTGACAAGGCCTTACACTAGTGCAACACATTGCATTTAATAGCATCGCTAACCCCTAAGCTAAACTAACTCGAATCCACGTCACTGTGAGAAGCCATTGGAAACAGTATTATCATCTTCCTGAGCGACGTACTGAATTGAATCAGGTCTTTTCAAAACCTGCCGAAAACAAAATTCAAACAAATTGCAATTTCACAGGTACTCGTTTTCCTACGTATTTTCTAGTAAATATCGTCGTTTATTCACAAATCGCGCATGTTAAAGTAAGCGTATCCTAAACGTAACACGCATGTGCGAACGTTGTAATGGCTCGGCGTGACGCTCTGCGCATGTTTTCAGGCTGCTATAACCAGATTGCCTCTAAAGAGTTAACTAATCACACACGCTAATTAGTTGATGTGTTTTACATGCGTCTACCTTTTTTTTTCCGAAGCTCAATCCAAAATGTTACACGAACAGAAGCAATTTATCTGTCGTTCTTGTCAAAAGCTTGTGAAGGTGCAACAATTCACGCCGATCTATGCCGTGCCAGTAGAATGTACGTCACCAAATTCTTAGGGAAGTAATCTCACCGATTAAAGGCTAGTGTTAATAGCTTATGACAAAAAAAAATGTATATATGACGATCGTTTAATCCCAGAAATTTCTTCCATTAAACCTTGAAAAAATAGTCCACTTTCTGGTAAATGAAATATTAAAACACCATTTCATACCTTGATGAAATCCAAGAAGGTGAATCCAAGCGCAAAATAAACCTAACATAATAGATCACAAAGCCATTATCGTTATCGTAATTTTTTCAGGTTCTGGCCATTCGCATCCGTATTAAACTTGAAAACAAACTTTCCTTTCCCTCAACAAAAAGAAAAAAAAGAATTCCGCGTTCTGCTTTTGCGCACTATAATTCTTTCCTGCCATCCACACGAAATTTCAAACGAGGACTCGTCACTTATGAAGTACCTTCTACTCTACTTCATCCGTCCAAATGGACACAGCAAATTGAGGGACGGGGGAAAATCTTCCCTTTGGAGGGAGTGGTTGAGTAGGTACACCAAAAAACCTTCCCTATGGAGACTGTTGTTGAGTAGGTAGCCCATATTCTATCGGTGACTGTTTTTACCAGATAAGTGTGGTCGGAAGGCCAAATTGCAGTCAATATGCCACCCCACAACTCCTTCGCAGCCGATGCTTGGTCTCGTCAAGCAATGCACACTCTCCCCCACCAACGGGTAATCGGCAGGTCGGAAATTATGGTGCCCGATAACATACGAGCTGTGACTGGACAAGTAGTCTTGCCGCGTTTGGCTCAGAAAAATACGAGCTCCGCTCTGATTGGATACACTTACGGAAAGGAATGTGCTTCCGATTGAAGCAGACGTTGGCAAGGTGGAGAGCGCATCACATGAAGAGACCAGACAAAGGTTGCGAAGGAAACTGAAATTGATTAGGATAAATAGGAAATTGAAACCTCAGTCTGGAACCAGGGCATAGAAATCTAAAGACAGGTTACTTACCAATAATAAAAGAAAAGCAACGTAGAAAAGAAGGTACAATCCAACTAGAAAATAGTAGCCTCCGTTGCGCGGTATTTCGGACTGAAAGACGACAGATGAAATGACAGCAGAGAAGCATTAGTGCGACGGACATTCCACAACCAAAAATTTGGAACAGGAGTTCATTAAATATTTACACTCTCATATTCTTAAAAACAATGCCCGACTAAACCTTCAGCAAGAACAGGGCTCCAAGCTTACATGTTTCATATTTGCTATCTGGTGATGTTAATTTATGTAATGATCGTTAGAAATAACTTCTAGACACCAGGAAAAAAAGCAGTGAAATTAAAGAAAGAGTAGATTACGTAAGTCATTAATGTAAAGCATAACATATTGACAAACATTGTAGACAAGCGTCAAAACAAAACTCACCACATATTCCGCGACAAAAAACATGTTAATTCCTATAACGACAACAGACAAAAACCAAGCTGCACCTTGCATCACCCTAGGAAAGAAAACAACAGGACGACAATTAAATGGATCTCAATCAAACATAAGAAGAGTAAAAAAGAAATCATATAGCCCAAACGATATTGAACGATAAAAGTTAATTAAGTGATTATCACGCATATATCCGCTTAATGGCCTGTTCTCGGTACTCAGTTCGTTTGTTTGGGGCGAACGAGAGAAAGAGTGACGCATTTTCGCTTGCTATTCTTTTTCCTGATTGCTTCCTCTTACCAAAAGGAATAAAAGAAGGACTGGCTGTCATTGCTCTCATTTAAAACGTCGGTACGAGTTGGAGCGTCAGCATTAACCCAATTTTTTCAAAATTTAAATTACCATAATTTTGTCTGCAACAACACTTGGACGTTGAAGGATAAACACACAAAGGACTAACTGCTCACACATTTTCCCTTTCATTTCTTAAGAGAACTTAGAGTTTAATCAAAGAAACACCCTCCAGATGATAGGCTTGTCTCTTATCAAACCCTGCAGGATTTTTAACAAGGCGGGATTGGTACAATATGGAACGGAACAATACGGATCAATATCAGTATCTGGGCAACTGCCCACCTACCCCTCCCCTAACCCAACATTAACCCTAACTTGTTATCAATTGACTCTTGTTGAATTAGGGGAGGGGTAGGTGGGCAGTTGCCCAGATACTGATATTGATCCAACGAGGATATACTGATATTGGTCAAACGAGGATATACTGATATTGGTCCAACGAGAATATACTGATATTGATCCAACGAGGATATACTGATATTGATCCAACGATAGACAAAGACAGCTTAGCTTACCTTCCATTCTTAAAAGATCCCATGATGGCTCTGTCTCCCGTGAAATGCAACACAGGAATCAAAGCAAAAGGGAGCTAGTAAAGATAAGAAAAAAGTCTTCAGCTTAACTGACAAAAAATTCTTGAGCGTCATTGGCAGTAGTTGGAAGCATTTTTGACTCCGATCGGAGCTTTTATTGTTACATTAACAGCTGCCTGTTAAGCGATGTTCTCATCAGAAAGCTGGCAATGTACACGGCCCACTAGTACCTAGATGTTAAACTCGGGTTTTTTTTCTCCAAATCAAAAAAATGTCGCTACCGGAACCACGTCACAGTTCAACCCTTTTGCTGCCAAGATCTCATTAGAAATTCTCCTTACTGTCTGCCCTAGAACTATTGCGATTTGAGTTCGGAGACTTTTATATTAGAAAAACTAATAACTGATATTCGTCTTTATTCTCATCACTTGTTTACTTGATATTTATTGATGTTGTAACGGGAAATTCTGACTTGGTCATGGTTTTTTTGGGCCTAGGGTTTTCAATTGTGATCCATGTAGTTCTTTTCCATCCCTAACCAATCTCGACGTGGATTTTATACCCTGACAAAGCTTCAATTTGAAGGTTTCCCTCACGGTAAGATTATTGATATTAAAAAAGGGGCTCGAAACTATACCAGCGACAATTTACCTGCAAACTCTGTAGTACATTAAGGAAATCATTCATTCCTGTCAAATCCTGTACTCCTTCGTAGAAAGCCACAAAAAGAGTTGGAGCAATGGCGATTGATCTGGTAAACAGCACTCGCTTCCATCTTGCCCAAGAGATCTTCAAGAAGCCCTGCAGTGCATAAATCAAATCAAGAGATTGTCTCTTATCGAGGAAATATCAACAATCGTTGAGGAGCGGACAAGCACAAATTATTCAATGAGAATAACGGATAATCAAATTCGCTAAATCGCTTCATACCTCCATAGCAAACTGGCCTGAGTAGGTTCCCTAAGAAGACAAACAAAAGTGATGCTATTAGCTTTTAGCAGCAGAAAGCGAGAGCAAATTCAACCCAACAGGCTTTGGGACAATTGTGTCGAAAGTTATCCAGGGAATTGTTTGGTTTTGCTTTACTTCGCCATGTGATTGGTTAGGAAAACTAGCGCCAACCTCACAACCAATCAGATTCAACACTATGATCAGCTGCGACAGGATCATTCGCGTTCACTCGCGCTTCAAGCAGTTTACTACTTTATACTTTTACTCTGCTAACTCATTGGCTCCTTGAGATATTTTCCTTTCCACTGATTGGTTGTTTGATTACCTTGGTTTTGAAGCTCAGTTTCCTTGAATATGATCTATATTTTTTTAAGATCACAAGAACGATTGACCACATTAACAGTAACCATTACGAGTGCTTACTCTAACGCTCAAGAAACACGATGGACACTTTCACCTTTCCTTTGTGCGTCACGTAGTGCATAAAGCCTCAGAAAAAAAGCAACCGTGTTTCATTTTTTTAAGAAGCCAACACTTACGGTCATAGTAGAGCTTTGACCCGCTGCTAGGATTCCTATGCCCCAAATATACAACGCTGCTTTTCCAAACTTGCATCCGAGGAAGACACCCTGAAAAGATAGATGGATAAGACTTTAAAACGATGGCTACTGCACTGCAATAATTAGCGACTACACACCGAAGTGGAGATGGCTAGTGAGGATATTAACCGGGCCACAAAGCGTCCAGGTAAATATCCACCGCTAGCTACCAACACTGAGGTGAATAGTTGTTCTAGAAAATAATAAATCAGGGAGACAATGTAGCACCAAAAGATGATATTAACTCATTTATTCCTGCAACGATTACAATATTTTCGGCCGCAAATCCCGCCCGCGTAGCTCGGAGGTAAATAGCAAAGAATATTCGGAGTTTGAGCAGCCAATCAGAGTACACCTTCAACGCTATCCACTGTTTTAGCATAAACTAATCGATAAAACTGTCTCAACCAATGTCTTAACTATCAAAACACAAACACTTCTTACCCCTTTGTAAAGGTCTCCGTCGATGGTGGAATTCCAAGTAATCTATACATAGAGAAATGAGTATTCGATATTCTCTGCTTTTTTACGTTATATATGACAAATCAATCAAGAAACACTTTCACACAAACTTTACCAGATGTTTGTATTTGAAAGATTAACAAAATCGCATTGTTCTAAGATTCTTACATGATGATCAGTGCTCTTGTTCACATTAAAGATTTCAGCTTGGCTTATCTTGTTCTCAATGCATGTATGATACTGAAAAGAAAGAGATTGTCGGGGTTTTCATTAAGAAATGTAGTAACACGAGAATATTGATAGCAAAAGGAAGTACTTTCAATCCCTGAATGAAGAATAAATGACACCTGTTCAGGGCGTGAAATTAATTTTTTTTTCCGATAGCCACTTGGCTCCTAAATTCTTCAAAGTGGTAGCCAAGTGGAAAAAAGTTGGTCGCCATTTTCAAAGACAAACAAAACCTTTTTTTAAGCTGTCGGCGTTCTAGATAGACCCTCCAAAATTAAATTTGGGAAAAGATCTTTAACGTGCTACAAAGTGGACACTAGGATGGACGATATACAACGTTAAAGCTCACCTAAATCCAAGATGGCGTCTAGTTATCGGTCGAGATACCTGTTTTGAAACCTTAACGAGGAAGTTCGCCGCGGATTTATCTTTGCAAATCTTTTTAATTCACTATATCTCTTGGTAAGGTTATGATGAAACATTCTAGTCGCCAATTTGGCGACTAATTTCCAGGATTTGGTCGCCAAAGTGAAAAATTTAGTCGCATTGGCGCCTGTATTAGGCGCAATTTCACGCCCTGGCTGTTGACAGAAGTATCGTACCTCTTCAAACAAAGACTTTGCAATGCAGCAGTATTGTAACTGTTTGATTCTGTAACATATTCTTTCAAGTAGTGTTATAGTACCTGTTTGACCCTAAGAGTGACTAGCACCTAATTTCTCCTTACAATATTACTCCTGAATCACACTATGGTCATGAGAATAAAGGAAATGATCACCAACTCAAAGAAGCTCTTGATTGTTCAACAAATTCTCCTTATCAGCACCTCAGGAAATGTATAGAGAACAGTATGAAGAAAATAGATACTGATGCTGAGGCGTGAAGGACTAAACTGTTAATGTACTACTGCAGTTATGTCCTTTTTGTCATAAGCTGGAATGGAAACGAACTAAAAATAATTACAGACTCACCACTTGCCCATATGTAGTATTATAAAATGCCTAAAAATAATAATAATAAAAAAAACACAGTGAGAATGACAACTTCGATCCATAGCCTATTCTGGGTGTTCGGTTAGCTGAACGAAGCGCGTTATTAAAACAGCGTGATAGTAGCAGAGGAATAAAAAAGCATCGGAGGTTAGGCTTCAGTCCTTTCCAACCAAACTCAGACAGTAAGAATTTTATGATAAACCCCAGCTCTTTCCCTTTCTACCTATCTTCTCACGTTTTGCATTTCTTTTGCTTGTGCAAAGCTGTCGTTTTGTCCCTCCTTGCGCAGTTTCGTAGGGCTGTAAAACGAGGATTATTTGGTACTATTTTCATTAATTTCTGGAACAACCACTGGTAAAAAAAATAGCTTTACCTCTGCAAATACTGCGACCACGAATATATTGATGATAAGTGAAACGAACAGTGCAATGGCTGGAAGAAAAAAAGAGAGGAGAGGTTACATGTGATGACCAGGCATGTTACTATACACAAGCAACTCCTACAGGCATAGTTGAACTGAAACAGTGTTGAAATTTATCCAGGACTGGAATTGTTTCGATTGAGAACTCGAACATGTAAACCATCTCAAAAACCAAAACCAAGGTGATCACAACAGCTAAAGAGAATCAAGAAAGAAAATTATCTTGGAGAGCTTGTGGAAATTCAAACTAAACTCGACCTGTCACCAAACTGGCTAAAGCGCAGGATAACACGAGCGACTAAGTTGAGATTGCTTTTAGTTTTGAATTTGATTAGTTTCGGTTAAGAAGATATCGCGAGTATTCAGGACCAATCACATAGCTAAGTAAAGCAGAATCGAAGAAAGCGAGGATGACTTTCAACTTGATCAATTAAAAAGTCTCCCTGACAGCGCAAAAACACATGTGACCAAGTTACACGTGGTTTTATTCCTGCGTTGATATTGTTGGTGTGGAACACGTGTATCACTATATCAACTACTCAGAAGCAAAACTAGAGCACTCTTTAACCGAGTGTCGAAAAAGCAAACCCAGAGAAAGTATAACTGCCAGTCAGTGCAAGGATTAACATCGTAATAACACAATGAGAAATCAAAGTAAAAACAAGCAAACTGTTTAAAAAGCGCGGGAAAACGCGGGTGCACAAGTCACGATTGGTTATGGTCTTTCGTTTGATTGGTTGAGATGGCAGTTCTCATAAAGGATACTGACATGGTTTTATCTTTTGTGCTCGCCTTGTGCGATCAATACGATTCTCAGATAATGCCGTAAGATGTATTCAATAACTGTAAATAATGGTGGAATGATGAGTCCCTTATTCGATGGTTAAAAATATTATTAACCATCGAATAAGGTGTATTTATTACCTGATTCAATAAAATAATACAAATTAGCTTCTTTCACTGCTTTAGTATCTTTCCTGTCTACTTCCCGAGACTACAACAAAGAGAAAGAGGATAGCGTTAACAATAAGCAACATCTCAAGAATTGTTACCACACAAATACATTCACAATAAAACAAATACTTCTCAACCTGAGCCATGGAAGTCTTCTCACAGTTGTTGGGTTGGGTGAGAACCGTTTGCTTAATGTTAAACCAATTCATGTGTTGAATCAAGTTGTCAAATCAAAGGGACTGATATTAATTGGTTTTCATCAAATGAGTTGATAATGTAAATTGGGCACCGTAACGAGTTTCTTCTCTCCGACAAAGGGCTAACGCTCTTAAGAAGATACTGCTCAAAGGATCTTTGGCCCTCGCTGCCCTCTGTAAGGAGTTTAGAAACTCTTTACAGTTGCCAATTTGTAATATCAATACAGTTGAGAAAATCATATTATCTTGTAATACACCTCACTGTCACAACACTACAGATTCCTTTTTAAAATTAACCCCTTCGATAATTTTTTATCAACTGGTAGGACTTCTATTGTAAAGTTAACATGTTAGTGATGACCAATCAGAGAACAGATGTAATGAAATAAAACTCTCTCAGTGCCTCTCCTGAATAACCTTCCTTTTCCACCAACATGGCACGCTGGATCATGCTCTTCTTGAATACCAGTTTACATTCCCATACTAAGCACAGATATTTTTTTCTTGTATTCATTTTAGGTCTCATATTGCTCACCTACTTTAAAACTTACTCACACTCATCACTGGTATTAAAAACTTATAAATTAAAACAGTATCATGCTCTTAGAAGTCATAATCCATAAGTATACAAACCTTAACTAGAGCTGAGTGAAGATACATATTATGAGGCATGATGACCGCTCCAACAATACCTACAGCCTTAAAGGCAATTGAAACGAAGAAAATTTTAGCAGTCAGTTTCAATCATGAAAACAGATTTCATAGAACATCACAGTCATAGTCTGTGTAACTAAAAAAATGACATAATTATATGATAAATACTTAACATCTTTATTAACTAGACAAACAAGGTAAGAATTTGCCATATTTCTTAATCAGCCTATGGAATAAACTTACTGAACTAACTACTAAACCAATTGCTGTCCATCAGAAAATGCCTACCTGTAAAATACTTTTATTGTCACAATTTTCACACCAAGGTATAAAAAGACCTTCCAGTACTTTATCCTGCTTTGGGTTTACTTTTACATACTACACGGAATATAAAAAGCCATAATGTTAAGTTCTCATTTGCCAAATAATATAAGAATTTTGAACAGGAGTCTCTAGCACATGCAACCTGTTAAACACTGCTTAGGCTATTGTCACTGAAATAATCATTAGATTATATCTTATGTCTGATGAGATTCATGAACCATTAATAACTCCATGTGACTGGCCATAGCTGTGCAAAATTTTGAGGATTTTGAGTGGTAGTCAAGTAAAGCAACGATCCTTGCTGGTGAGCCACAATTGCAGAAAAGAAACCAGAAAAAATCTTCCTCTCTACACTTGCTTTAACCCTTTCACTCCCAGATCAAATTTGTAATTCTCCTTACTGTCCATTATGCAATTCCTATAATATTATTTCAGAGAGTTTAGTATTGGATCAACTAATTATCCCCAAATTGATATTTTTCTTTATTCTCATCACTTATCTGTTTGATATTGTATTGATATTGTAGGGAGAAATTCTGCCTTGGTCACTCATGGGAGTTAAAGGGTTAAGTTGCAACTCAATTGCGAGGATCATTGATTTATTTAATTTTCACCTGTAGGTCAAATGAAATTCAGTTATTGCAAAATTATGATCAGATTTCTCTAAGGGAAAGAAGAACCCTCGAAAGTGTACCCACTCCCAGCTTGTGGCTTGGTAGCTCAGCTGGGAGGCAAGCCTTCAAATCCTGTCATAGCCCGAATTTTTTTTTAAGTGCTAAGTTGGTTTACTTTGGTGCATCATGTTAGTCTGGCAAGTTGGCCCTATGCATGCATTATTAATGTACTGAAACATTTTGTTTGAAGATTACAAATTAAAGTGAGTCACCACTTACACAATTGCAATGTTCAAGCAGAGTTGCACTTTTAACAAAGCTCGATCTTGTAACTGTAAATCATACAGGGAAACATCTTTTGATACCCAATATTAACCCAGTAAAACCCTGGCCTGAATGCTGAAATGAATTTGGGTGAAAGAAATACATGTGCCTTACCTCATAGCCAAATGACACAGCCATAACAGTTATCAAAAATCCAAAGAATGCCTCCAGCTTTCTTAGACCTAGAATGAAAATAATTCAAAATCAAATTATCATCTCCTGCCTGTTCCTTATGGTGTGATCTCCAATTGTTCCAATGGACCTGCAAGTTTATCTTTTTAAGGAACAGAGGTATAACCAACATCTTTTGTTTTCTTTCAAAACTAGTTTAATGGTATGTCGAGTATTACTTATATGAAGAAGGGCACTTCATATACTCCTGTACTGATTATGTTGTAGTTGAAGCTATAAATAAAAAAAGGAGGCAATAGAAACAGGTTTACCTTGTATCCCAATGATTTAAGAAAGTGAGGGAGGAGTGGGGGGGGGGGGGGAAAAATACTTATTTAGGAGGGGTGCTTGGTGACATTTATGGCCTAGGGGGTGGATACTTATTTGGGGAAAAGCATTTCTTAGAGTGGGGTGCTTATTCAAGGAAATATAGTATAGGAGAGAAGAGAAGGCATGGCGCTCAGGACTGTTTAATCCATACTTGTAACTTTTGGCAATTAGACTGGATTTTGTTATGGTTGTCTCCTTCAAAGGGGCTGCTGCATCAAAATTACTTGAAAACTAAAGAGTAATTATTACTTTAAAGATAGATTTTCTTTACTTAATGTCTGCATCTTCACCACCCATCATGATATGCTCAGAGTTCAAAGTGCAACAGAGAAGTTAAATGGCCCACACAAATTTCAAACAATGATAATGACTCACCATATTTATCAAGGAATAGGAAAATAAATGTATCAGTGATTGTGATAAGAACACCACCATACAGAGGAATCCTGTTAAATAAAAACAAATAGGATTTTCAAGATGATCATCATCACTTCACTGTGATTGTGTAGTCTGATTGTCCATGTGAGAGTAGTCCTGAGAAGGACTGTTTTTGGTAGTACTGATTGATGTTTCAACAATCTGAACAGAAGTCATCATCAGAATCAAGTGAAGAGTTGCTGTTGGTCAAGAGTACTTTGTCCTGTTTGTGTAAACTGATTATTCAATTTACTTGAATCACTTCACTGTTCCAGAAATATCCAACCCACCCCATTGGGAGCCATGGAAAAATCTAGAGCAGAGGAAGCTATGAAAATGGTCTTCACCTTCAGAGAGGTTATGGGCTCAGACCAAAAACCTTCAAAGGGAGGGATATAAATGTTTTTTTTTTAAATCAGTAACATCACTGAGTAAACTGATAGAAATTAAAACACATACTTGAACAGGAACCTATGTTGGAATAACAGCAAGAAAGATTCTGGTCACCAAAAATGACACTTACTTTCCATTTGATAAAAGGTTAAATGCTATTGCAGTTCCAATAACTTCCTGCAATAATAATTAAAAAAAGACTCTGTTGTTTAAGCATAATGTTTTATACTTGTACACATTCATACATGAAGTTGTAATTTTTTTCATAGAAATGTGTGAAAGAGGAAATGACCCAAAGGGAAGCATATTGGAATTCAGACTAAAAAGTTTCAGCTCAAGATGTGTTTAAAGTCAATGATTTGTGCTCTGGGAGGAAGCAGAATTCTTTGCCTAGTACATCCTGTGGGATTGCTTAGTGTTGGGAAAGAAGGTTTACTTAAGGCAGACTACCATCCCATTTCAAGGAGCCACAATATGCCTGGCAACTTCATGCCAGGGGAAAGCTTGAGGATCTGAGAGACACAGGCTTGTGTGCAAACTTCACCTTACATGATAACACACTGACGACTTACCTGCATGTCACTGCCAATGATTGCAATCTCAACCATAACCCAGAGAATGATACGGGGTATCTTGGGATACTTTTCATGACACACCTCTGCAAGATGCTTGCCTATAATAACAAATCCAGCATGGATAATTAATTCTTAAAATCTCTTGAAGTGATGATGAACAAGTTACTTCTCCTCACAACAGTGATACACTAACCAAAGGCAGCAAACATGTAATGAGAATATCTACACTTGCCAACCAGAGGCTGTTAGTATTGATTTGGTTATGAAAATAGCAAACTATCGGTTGAAGAATTATTCACAAAGGATTGTGTGACAATTACAAGGGACAAGAAAAAAGCAGGAAGTTTTATTGTGAAAATAAGCCTTAACAGTGACATCTCCTTGCAACATTCTTGGGATTAGAAATTTCCATCCAATGTACCAATATTTCTTTTGGTGCAAATTTATTTGGTTTAAAACTTTTCAAGCCAGTTTGAACTTTATTTTGTTTTTATAAACCTTTAACAACAAGAAAAGGAAAACAAAAAACTAAACTAGTGAAAAAAAAAACTGCAGAACAAGAAAAAAAGGAAGCAAAACATATTCCAAGTGGCAAAATTATGTTTGGACATGTTATTAATTCAGGAACACTCTGTCTGTTAGTTTGTGTAAAAAGGGATGATGATCGTTAAGTCAGCTTACACTTAAAATAACAATATATAAAGACACATTTAAAAATACTTATACAGCAATACTTTACCTGATACAGTTCCTAGCCTAAGGGACAATCTCTGATGAGAAAAAAAAAGTCACAAAAAGAAAGATAACATTAGGAAAGGAATAAGAAACATGTATAATTTGTGGTATAAATTGGTCCTTAATTTTGATTGCCTTCTTGTCATTTTGTTTTTTAAGCATTTTTGCTTGTGTCAGATTTCAATAAAGCAAAATGGAACTTCGAGTGGGTTCCAAAAATTCCAAACAGAAAGGGAAAAGTTGAAATTTGCTTTTCCCCAATATTTCATGAATATATCATTAAAATTTTCTAATTGTATGCTGATGCCTTGCGAATTTGAACAAATTTGACTTTTAAGCTCTAATATAATAACTAAGAGAGAATAGAGGAACAGAAAAAGACAGACAAACTGATTTTTTCACCTGCATCAGAAGTCCCATAAGGGTAGAACACATAAGAATCCAAAGCAACTGTGTAAACAAGACAAACAAATCAGATCTGATAAATGTTTATCATAAACCCACTAAGAGTACTTTTATTAGACTTCTTTTTGTTCAACTCACATTAACCCATTTTAATTCCCAACTACACTCAGCAAAATACAAATAAAGTGCAACTAGAGTAAATATATCCAGTAATATTTTACAGTTTTCTATGTTGTACTGTAAAAAAAAACCTGTTTAACCAGTTGGCTGTGGTGAGTTAAATAATAAATAACTTATAATGATTAGACATTTTGGTGTGTAATATTGGTGAGTACTTTTACTTCTTGTTTGTATCTTGACTCACCTTACAGGCTTAACCCTTTCACTCCCACAAGTAACCAAGAGAGAATTTCTCCTTACAATATCAATACAATATCAAGCAGGCAGGTGATGAGAATAGAGAAAAATATCAATCATGGGATTATTAGTTGATCCAATACCAAATTCTCTGAACTAACATCATAAGAATTGTATGGCAGATAGTAAGGAGAATTACTAATCAGATCTTGGGAGTGAAAGGGTTAAGAAAATACCATACAACTCGTATACATACTCAGCGATACTACACACCAACACATCTTCAGTTGATAAGATATAAATTTTACAACAACATGTAAATATAGAAGAAATTGAAATATTCCACACTCTTGAAATTCTGTCAATTTTTAAATTCTTGACAAGAATTATAAACTGATTAAACCTTTCACTCCCAAGATCTCATTTATTTAGTAATTCTCCTTATTAACTGCCATACATTTCTTGTGATGTTACTTTGGAGAATTTAGTATTGGATCAACTATAATCCTCTGATTGATATTTCCTTATTCTCATACCTTGTCTCCTCGACATTGTACTGATATTTTAAAGAGAAATTCTGTCTTGGTCTCTTATAAAAGTTTAAGGCTAAGTGAAACTGACTCTCAGATTCTAGATGACCTCATAGGAACTCTCAATTCTTGAATTATTTCAACATTTTGTATCATTTACCTTATATTCTGCCACAGCTCCTGATTGAAGATCTGATTCTATGTTTCCAGGATCAAGGTAAGCTATGCTCATTAGAAAGCCAGGACCAGTGAAGGCCCACAACCGACGCCAACTAAACTTGTACTTCTGTTGTAATGAGTCACATAAAACAACAAATTATTTATTTTATATTAGATGACAAATTATCCTGATCACAAGTCATTTTAGCACCTTCTGAGGATGCATAAGACCTCAATATTTCATGGCATGTAAAACAACAATTTGAACTGCAACTGAATTGCATTAGAGAAATCTGGGTAATGCTTGGCAGAAATTCACATTTATTTCATTCAGTATTTTTAACCCTTTAATCTCTAAGAGTGATTGGCTTCTAATTTCACCCAACAGTATCACTTTTGATTCAAACATTACAGTCATGAGAATAAGGGAAATGATCACCCACCAGAGAGGCCCTTGATTTTTGAACAAGTTCTCCATGACATTTCCTTAGGAAATATATAAAGAACAGTAGGGAGAATATGCATACTGATGTTAGGGTGTAAAGGGTTAACCCTTTCGCCTATAACAGTGATTGGCATCTTCTATCTTCGAATAGTTTCACTGCTGAATTGAGCATTAAAAGCCCTGAGAAAAAGGGAAATGACCCCCCCACACTTTTGATGGTTCCCTAAATTCCTTACGTCAGTACTATAGGAAACATATAGTGAACTGTAAGGAGAATAAGCATACCAATCTTAGGGTTTAAAAGGTTAAAGTACATGAAACCATAATGCATTGAATGCCTAGTTTCACCAATTTGGTTTAATGGCATATCACTATGGTTTGAAAATGGTAATCTTGATTCTGTTTGACTCATTTGAGTAACATGTTAAGAGTGATACACAAAGTAAGGAGCACAGCATCCTTTGCACACTGTTATTGAAAAAGTACAATTCACAGCACAGATGCATGAAGGGAGAAGAAAATTAATGCAAAGTAGTAGACATTTAGCCATAGACAAAGTTCAATTTTCAGCACCCACTGCATGAAGGAGGGACAAAATTCTAGTCATGAATAAGAATTAAAACTGGGTAAGCCCCAATCAATTCAAAGCTTCAACATCCTGGGCAATACAAAAGCATCTGACCCTTGTCCATGCCCAGTGAGTTGGGAATTTGAATCTTGTCATGCTAGGGTGGGGAATTTGAATTGGAAGTATCAAGTCTTTTCAGCAGAATGTAAGTATTAAAATAATTATCTTAAAATATGAGGGAGTTTTCAGGGAAACAGTTCACTTTTGTGAGCAAATAGCTCAGAAGAAAAGGTCTACAAGGTCTAGGTTTTAATCCTTTCACTCCCAAGATCTAATTAGTAATTCTCTTTACTATCTGCCATATAATTCTTATGTTAGTTAAGAGAATTTGGTATTGGATCAACTAATAATCCCATGGTTGATATTCTTCTCTATTCTCATCACCTACTTGCTTGATATTGTATTGATATTGTAAGGAGAAATTCTGTCTTAGTCACTTGTGGGAATGAAAGGGTTAAAGACTGGTCTATGTTTAGAAAGTAACAGTCACTGATTTTGCCTTGGGGGAGGGATGGAGGGAGGGAGAGGAATTTGAACAAACCAATCCTCAAAAGTTCAAATAACAGGGAGGTTGCCCTAGGAGGGAGGGAAGGGATTTTGAAGCTTCAAATTGATAAGGCATGATGTTATAGTGCTGAAGGATGTTTCTCTTCTACACGAAAATCAAGTATTAAAAATTTGTACACCTTTGCCACAGATTATACCACAATACAAAAACAAAACAAAAACAAAAAACTTACGTCTGCCTCTTCTCCATCTCTGGGAACAGTGATTCTTTGATCAAAGTAAGTGCTGGCAATGTCTGGTTTAGTGGACCTCTTTCTGTTTGCATGCATGCTATTCAATTCTTCCTCTGAACTGAGTTCAAAGGAATTTGACATATCACCACCTGCTGATAAAACACACACTGATAAAGAAAAAACTCAAAATAATTCCAACACTGTTTACAGCAGACATTTGACTCTTCATTTTCTTAGCGAGACATACATTTCATTTCTCCTTTTAGTATAAGAAGGTCATGAGGATAAAAAAAATGAACACCAACAAAAGAAACTCTTGATTGTTAAACAAATTCTTGTTAGCATTGCCAAAGCATATGTGTAGAATGCAATATGGAGAAAATGCATTCTAATGTTAGAGTGTAAAGAGTTAATTTCCACAACACTAGTAGTATAAAACCAGTCCCTTCAACAGGAGACAAGATTGTGTTGAACCTGAATTCAACTACTTGATAATGATAAAACATACACCTTAACCCTTTCACTCTCAGATCAAATTTGTCATTCTCTTTTCTGTCAACCATACAATTCTTATAATGTTAGTTCAGAGAATTTAGTATTGAATCAACTAATTATCTCCCAATTAATATTTTTCTTTATTCTCATCACTTATCTGGTTGATATTGTATTAATATTGTAAGGAGAAATTCTGCCTTGGTCACTCATGGGAGTTAAAGGGTTAAGCAAAAAATCAAATCTAACAGGTGACACATTATTTTAATTTCTACATGAAATGGTAAAAAATTGAAAATAATTTTGAAAAATTTGTAATAAGTACAGCTTCATACATAGTCAAACCAATCCTGGTTTAGCATACCACTTAACATGACAAATTAAGGTCAATCAGCCTTAAATAACAGGCTGATCACTGGACAGATGACTTCATGCCATAGTTATTATATATCTTGCAAAAAAGTCATAAAATCCTACTTTCATTATAACTTTTGTTTTAACAAAACTGCTTGCAATGGGTAAACAGATAAATTCCCACAAGTTGCCCAACTTGTTTTCTGAGAAAAATTCTGCCTTACTAGCAAAGATATCCAAATAACTTATCAGCAACACATGGAGAAAATCAAAATTCACAACACTTGGAGAAAACTGAATAGGAGCATGAAAAACAACCTTAAATTCTATAGACTGCAGGATTTCCACAAAATTGTCATTAATTTCCTGGTGAAACACAGGGAAAATTTTGGTGGTGCATCAAAAGTCGCCTAGATCTTCATTCCATGTACTCCTTTAATTGTTATTGTGATGAACATTATATCATAACTCTTATTCTCTGTACAAAAACACTTTAGTGCAACTTAACAACAGTCAGTGATCTATATCTTGACTTAAAAATTTATCATCTAATGCGAATAAAGCAGGATGATAAAGTGGCTACCAGATGAAGGGTGTGAGTTCTCCACAATGTCTGATGAAGGACTTGTTAAATCATTCATTTTGATATACTCAATTGTTGTATTTCGCATAACAATAGGTTTGAACATTACACTCCATAAATAGTGAATGTGGTTGGCAGACTAGAAAACCTGAAAAAGGGAAAAGATATCAAATTAGAAGAATACCAGCAACTTCTTACTAACCAAACATAAGGCAACCTCATTCCCAGGACCTTTTCCCTTAGCTGGGGATGGGATGGGAACACCCCCAACTCCATCCCCAACTCCACCCCTAACTAAGGGAAAAGGCCCTGGGAATGAGGTTGAAATACATGGCTTATGACCATTTCCATGGAATTGATCTAGATGGTAAAATTCCAACCCACTATGAACCAATTAGAATGCTTGGAATTACCTCAAAAATAACTAGCCATATAATAATAGTGTGTATTTAACAATAAGCTTCCATGCGTTGTGCATCTGTTTAGGAAATAGATCAAAGATAACATCAACATGTAAAAACTTAAGGGTGGATTCATCTTCTGTGATCTACAACTAAACAGTCTCACATTAATATCAAAGCTTTCTGTTTTGTAAAAAAAAAAAGAAGCATCTACGTTGTTATCAGTTACATCTGTCCTCCAGAAGATCGTAAGTCTGAACCAATCAAAATGCCTTACTGTGTAATTTAATTTGAACCACAAAAATTTTTTAGCATTGACTTGAAATCTAAGGCGATCATATGAACAAAATTGATATCACCCAATCTGTGTTTCGAATTTCAAAATATTTAACAAAATTTACAAGTAGATACTTGCATATAAGCTCATTCTAGTACATTGATGAAACATGCTGAAGGGTAACGCACTTCTACTATTTTGTTGTTAAAGAGCTTTCATGTTCATCCTCTTGCTTCCAACATTTAAGTGGTTGACAATGCATACCCCAACTAGAGTATATTGGTTCAAGTCCGAAATAAACAGTATGAAATAAGTTGTCTGGAGTTTGAAAACTCCTCTGGGTATGAATTTGAAAACTGACGAAAAATGTCAAGCCATGTTCGTAGAAGGGATAATCGCGGATCGGTGTGTGAACGCTGTTAAATAAAGGGGGAAGGGGGCGAGGGGAGACTTGTCTAAGCAAATTCAACTTTTTTGCCCAGATTCAACTCACGAACAGCAAGGTTTAAGAATATATTGAAAAGTTACGAGACTTAAGTCGTAATATCAAATGGCTATCGAATAATACCGAGTAATCAACACTATTTACGCTAAAAATTAATGGAGGATTCATACGATGCTTAATGGAATGATATCAGTGAACGACCAACAATCATGGAAAACGAGCTTAGTTTATTGAAGGCAAGAAAAAAGGTTACTTACCGGTAAAATGATGATATATTGATCTTGATTCAAGCCGCCATTTTAACCAAATGATGTGACCAATAGTATTACCTCTAACATTGAGAGCATGGGAGATGGAATATTCTTATCTCGCGTTTGATTGGCTCAGACTTGGGACATGTGAAAATATCTTCTTCTTGTAAGGTTTCCTCATCGTTAAATTATTTGCTGGTAAAATCTCTTCAGAAATCGGTTCACGTACAGAGTTGATGAGCGATCATTGAAATATTCCACCTTAAACAATTCCCTGCTATACCTTTTGTAATACTAATAAATACGGCAATATAAACGTGCGTGCGTATAGTGGCTAGTAAACTATAAGGTGCTACAGGCCTCTGAAGAATAATTATTGACATAAAATAAGTTGCAATAGCTTCAAACACGAGAGTAATACGGTAAAATTTTTCATAAGTCAATAATAAGTGCTCCTTGTATATCAAAGTTCACAGATCATGCAACGATGTGTTGTTGCGTAACGCACGAAAGTAACTAAACTGGAGCAAATAAGATGTGCCTTGTGACTTTTTGAGACCCTTGCAGCCTTTGCGCTAAAACAGACGGTCAAACATTTAGCAGATTTCTCCACAAATAGCCATTTGTATGATACGATTGGCAGCCAGCCATCCTCAAATCCTTCGATGAGCTCGCTCATATTGAAACGTAGGTATTAATGATAAATTAATATTTGGAAGACAACTTTCAATATTTAGCTCTCTCTTATGGATATGAAAATACTTTTAGAGTCTTGAGATACTATAACCTTAATTCGTGGGAATCTTAAAATTACAAAACAGATTAACCGGGTACTCATGTGACCAACAACGAAGTCAGCTCTCCGTCAGCTGATCGATGAGAACTCTGACTTCGGTCAAGAAAATCTGGCCCCTTTCGTTGTTAAAGCCAATAACAAACGATACTACATTTTACGAAATTTTATGAAGCAGATACCTTTGGCTACTGCAGGAGGCGTTTCATTCTCATCCATCGATTGGTACATGATCAACCACTGGAACGTGCAACGAGTGAAAAGTGACGATCGATTATGTCACACGATTTAAATATCAACTGCTCTATCATGACACAGCAAAGAATTCACGTTATATATTAACCTGGTTACAAAAATTCGACGAAATCCTTTAATTCATTAGCTCTCTGCATAGCAAAGAGGGAATCGTTGGTTCATAACAAGTTGAATAACTAATTTACATATACATGGTCGTATACGTAAAACACCAACTGTGAGTTACTATAGCAATTAACTAAGAAAGAAAACATTCCACGGTTCAAGTAAAGTTACTTCCAGTCCTTCTGAGCTGGACGGTCGCGTCAAAGTAATATCGACCAGCAGGAGGTCACGGCTTTGGGTGTTGCGTTACGAAAACTTTCGGATGGCACGAATTTACAAGAAGTTGAAACGTTAAAACTGAATGAAATGTCTCGATTTCGGGCGGAAAGGTAAGATGCAGTCCTAATTTTGTAGTGAAAATAAAGCAGTTCAGAGTCGGTTAAAGGAAATGAAACTGTAATTTTAAAATACTTTTCATGGAAGGTCAGACAAACAAAAAATAAAGCAGTTCAGAGTCGGTTCACGTCTTTAATGTATGTCTTTCATATATTCTTAGCCGTTCGGTTTCATCACTTCACGGGGAAATTAAATTGAACCAACATAAGGCATGGGTTTATTAAATAGTTTTTCATAGAAGATCAGACAAGGAAAGTTTGTTCTGACCAAATCAACATTCAAAAATAACATCTACCTAAGGGTCGCTGTTTCATTTAACACCCACCTAAAGGTACTTAGGTTAGAGGTCAGACAAATAGGAGAACAAGACTTGACCACAAATTTTAAACGCGAGCTTTTTATGTCAGAGGTTCAACCAATAAAGGTAAAAAAAAAAAAAAAAGGAAATAACTTGTTTTGGTTTGAAACGTAATCTGTGCAATATATCTGGACGCATTCATCTATAATGCAACAACACGGTAGAGTAATGTATAAAGTCGTAAAAAAAATCTCATCGAATTTTTTTTGTTTGAGGCATAAAGGCTGTTTCTTTGATATCGTCGATTCTCCATTGTCCGAATAGCAACACTGTAGTAGTAAAAGACGTCTGTTACAAGAAGTTTATCTGATTTGTACTTTTTAATAGGGGTCCGCACCGAATCACACAGAATTTTTTGGGAAGAAAAGGGACAGAAATTAAATTTCGCCGGCATTCCTTTTATGATTATGGGAACAGCCGTATATTACTGCCATAAGGGAAAAGACAGAAATCTGGCATTAAAGAAGCGCATTAAAGGAGAAAAAACTAAGGTGTGAAGCAAAGTCTCCAAATTAAACATCGAAAACTTAAATGCAACAGCTCTTGATTTGGTTGAAAAATTTTAATAAAAAGTTTATACTGCTATCTTTACTTTTCATCTCAAAGATGAAATCTGAAGATCATTGTGGAGGGGCCATTTCTTACCGAGTCCCACAACATACGAAGAAACTGGACTGTCCAGCACAAATCACTACGAGGGAAGTGGTCACGTTCCTTTAATTTAAGGTAGGGCGCTGTGAAACAAAATTATTTTCGCAACAATATTACCCGTTTACATTGAAGTTCTTTCTATTCCACAAAACTTTTCCTGATTGAGAAGAGAAAAAAACGAAGCAAAACAAAACAAAGCAAGTGCTGGGTCTATGAAGTGTACTGTAATTTACCTCACTGTTCGAAACAGATCGAGGTGGAAAAGAACACAGAATGGAGTAGAAAGGAAGTATCCTGTTATTTAGGTTCAAGTCCCAAAAAGTCGGCTTTTGGAGAAAGGAGATTCTGTATACAGTCGTCCGATATTACTGACCATCGAGGCCACGCCGTAGGAAAGGTACAAGGTTTAAATCAATTTAAAATACCATTAAAACACGATTAAAGGGAAAGTGGACAAGTTATTATATTATTATTAATATTAGCAGTATCAAAAATGGAAATTTGAAAAAAATTTCCACATCGCGTATAGCAGTCAATCTATGATTAGGTAATTTTAGAAGACATTATTGCTTTCGTGATCCAAATATTGCACTGAGTTACATGCTGAATTGAGTGACATGTCACTGTACAATTTGTACTGTAAATAGGAACTTTCTGGAACATAAAAGTGTTAAAAGAAGAAAACCCTTTCAAGGAGAGAGTTGGCTAAATGAAATCCCTATGGTATAAAACTATATTTAATTAGTCACATTATTCTGACAGGTAATTAAATCCCTGAGAGATGATCACTGATAAGTCCTGCACCATGCTAATCAAACACCTGTTGACACATTTAATGGCAATCAAAACCAATAAACTCAAATATATTCATTAATTCTCTAAAAAGGAAATTCCCAAGCAAAGAAATGACTGTGACTGTGGGACGTTTGTCTGTATGGTAAGAAAAAGCCATTACACATCTTTACATATTGTCATCATGCACTGTAAGTCGGCAATGTGCACCTGCATTAAGATATTTTTCTGACAAATAGCCGATTATCACATCTTTTACGTAAGTTTTATTAGTAACATTTTTCATAATAAGTATGAGGCTGGTAGTTGTTGACAGTATTATTTTAAACTTTCTATCAAATTATTCAGAAAACCAGACAATAATGTGATGCCGTGATTGAAGTTAACTTGCATTTAGCTGATAAAAGCAATACTTTTCAATGTTAGTTTGCAGAGCACTTGAGCCGTGGGGAAGTTCCTAATTTTAATCAGGTGAATACAAAAAAAAAAGGTTTTTATTATAAATAAACATAGTTATTTTATGTATACTATTAATTTACCATTTTTGTTCCTAATAAATCATATGACACCAGGAGCCTCTGATTACACTAAAAAAATTACATACTTAATAATATGTAAGAAAAGAAACACTGAACTATAGTGTTTTCTGTAGTTTTAGTCAATTGGCTTATTACCATTGTTTTTCTTGTATCTTTATTAGATTATTATTACTATTATTCTTTATTAGATTATTATTCTTGTATCTTTATTAGATTATTATTAGAATGATATGCCACTCCTGAGAAGAACACTTGAGGAGCAATTGCTGCAAACTGTTCTGTGATGGGTTTCATAACAGACAAGCAATTTAAACTATTTGCTGTTGGAAATGAACTTGAAATAAACCCAAACAATTTCCAATCTTCAGCATTATGCAGTGCAAATACAAAAAAATTTAAATACAGTATTTCACCCTTTCACTCCCAAGATCTGAAAGTTAATTCTCCGAACCAGAACCATACATTTTGTGCTGATTGGTCCTGAGAAATTTGGAGTTATATCAAGCCCACCTTGTTGATAATTTTCTTCATTCTTGTTACCCGTCTGCCTTCGAAATCGTAAGGCTAATTTACATACCGATCACTCCCAGGAGTCAAAAGTCTTAAGATTTGCCTCCAATTTATATGATGCATTGTCTGTTAACACAGCATTGTTACTAACGCTTTTCCCTACGATGAAAAGTTTGAATGATAATTTTAGGATGAGTATCAGCCCCCCGCCCCCGCCGCTCCCCCTTATGGAATGTCATCATGTATCGCGTTTTTCAAATTTTTTTATGATAAAACACGCAGTGAAGAACCTCTTATGCTAGGGCTTGACAAAGAAACGGAACTAACTACAGCCAACGTTTAGCTCAGGTCGGCAACGGTTACTTGACACTAAAAAATAACAAACACCGATTGCGGTATCTTACCTCCTTTACTTAGATGTTAATTCCCAGCGTGTCCTCCGTTCGGTAGGTGTTACAATAATACTTTCATGGATACAACGCCGATCACAATAAATATGCGATTACTTTTTCCGAAATCGCACGATTAATGAAATTTACCCTTGTAAATGAGTAAGTTGGACCCCATCGGATTACACAAAGTACGTGAATATAATCCAGACCGTGTAAGAACGAAATTGTTTTGCCAAATGTATTTCTCAACTTCCGTTACAATCTCCCCGTACAGGAGACGTCTTCGTAGATGTGACCTCCTGTTGGTCGATGTTACTTTGACGCGACCGAGCTGAATACCTTGCGTGACCTACAATCGGCTGTTCTTTTTGCGTGACCTGCAATTGGCCGTTCTTTTTGCGTGACCTGCGATCTGCTGTTCTTTTTGCGTGACCTGCGATTGGCCGTTCTTTTTACAGGGAGCACCCAACTCTGCAGTACGGAGCAAACCAGTTGGACTAAACCAGCCTACTTTTTGTATTACTCTGTTTAGCGCACCCACCAAAAATAACAACCTCATGTTCGCAGCCTTGATAGCTTTCAGAAATGGGGATGAAGTAAACAAGAGGGAAGGGGGCGGGGAACGTCTTTCAATTCCCCCTCACTTGGGATTCTCTTCTCTCATAGTCGATCTCTACTTAAAATATCCAAGATGGCGGCCAAGCTTGTTACAAAGAAATAATAAGCGTTTACTTTTCGAGAATGAGTATGTACAGCAGGGTGGTTGCAGCCTACATCTTGTATGACCTCAACTGATGACGAGTTACACAAGGAATTGGGTTCCCGTGCCGTTTCGCAACCCCCTTGGCCAGATTTCCGGAAAAAGGAAATCGTCTCCAAGGCCGAGTAAAAACACAAAGTCCTAAAAAAGAGGAAAGAGAAGCGCGAAGGAGTGCCGACAGAACCTATCTTCTTGAACAGCGCTCTAAAACAAAGATTACCGTCAAGTGATCATTCGAAGTAGCCAGTAGTTTTATTACGAGATCTTTTTTTAATTGGTTTACGAAAAATGTGCTGTGGTTACACTGACCGGGCTTACTCTGAGAGAGGATCGCCTGGAGAGAATAAGAAGCATCTTCGGTTAGGACGATGTTGATGAGCGCTATTTTTTTAAATAAAACATTAATGAAAATTAGATCATGAGTTCGGGATTTCTGGCTCAGGATAGTTGATGAGTAAGAAATCTAAGTCAACTGTCGTGCGTAGAATTCGAAAGCGAATCATCTAAACGTTTTAGTATCGATCTGTCAGTAGTAAAAAAAAGAAAAAAAAAAGAAAAAAAAAGACAGGCTCATTTTTTTTCATTTTATTTTCTATAGGCCACAAAATTATGGGCAGCTCACTTAACTCTATCTATTGATGAATAGATAGCGAAGACCGCAGCCAATCAGATTGCGGTAAATGTGATAGAACGCTAGCTATTGCGAGGCGATTTATCTTTACTCGGTTCTCCAACATATTGTCTACAGTGTTTTCTGCTTTCCATCCCTTTAACCCTTTTACACCCTAACATCATTCTGCATATTCTCCATACTGTTCTCTATACATTTCCTAAGGTGCTGACAAGGAGAATTTGTTTAACAATCAAGAGCTCCATGATCATTCCTTTATTCTCGTGACCTTAATGTTTGATTAAGGGGTGATATTGTAGGGAGAAATTAGATGCTAATCACTCTTTGGGGTTTTAAAGGGTTAAAGAAACAGCAAACTACATTAAGCGTGACCAACCTGAGCATTATCCGTAGCAAGTGACAATTTTCGTGTTGACGAGGCAAGTTGTTAAGTTACGCTACAAACGTTCCCCCTTCGAGTCACGAAGAGAGTCAAGGGACTCCATTGAAAACAGAGAAAAAAAAAATGCTGTGTTCTTAGCCTTTTTGAATCTTACATAACTAACACATACACGTTTCTCTTCTAAACAACTGAGCCCAAATGTAGAACAAAATCCACAGAAAACCAAGAAATCTCAGAGTATGAACATGTATGTTCCTACGCTGGGTCCCAACGGGATTTCTTGACGGCCGGTTTTTGTGGTTTAGACGATTGTGGCCTGCTGTCAGGGGGTTTAGCTGTACTGTGGTGACTTGTCGCGTCCCATGTGTTAGACGCAGAGGAAGATGCAGCGCAAAAGTGAGACTTGTACTGGGCCTAAGGACCAAGACGTGAAAGACTTGAATATATCAACATCGAATAAGTCTCCAAGAGAATGATTTATTCGGGTGGAGCAACATAACAAAAGTAACATTAAGTCAAAAAGGACTAAGCTGTCCGCAGGAAGCAGGTGGGATATTTTATCCGCTGAAGAAAGGGGAACGAATGGGAAGAATGGGTTAAGATTGTAACAACGTACGCTCCAAAGTGACAACGTTTTCGTGAGTAGATAATTGTGTGACTGGATATTACAAATTTCGAGACGGACATATTTAAAAAAAAAAGGTGATCGGTAAAAGAAGAAAACATTCATAACAAAAACCTGAAAAGCAGCCTTGAGAGCCGAGGTCCGATCATTTCTTGCCGAAGAGCCGAACACTCCTCCCGAGGCCGAAGATGACGACGGACGAAAAGATGTTTTTGAGGACGTCGACGATACGAAAGACGATTGTGGGTACGAAGATTCTGCATACGAATACTGCGCTCCTCTGCCATCACCGGCTTGGTTTCCCTGTGAAAAGATAAGGCAGATTACCTTTTGTGAATACCAGCTAAGCCGCAAGTTTAAACTGAAAACTGAATTTGTTAAAAATTTTTGGTATCAGGGCACAAAACATTTTTAGAGTACAAAAATAAAGACTTTTTCTTCCAGATATTTTGCGAGTCATTTGGGTCCACAAATCTGGCAAGAGCAAACTAAAGGTTCCCAACGATGTTCCCTTAACCCTTTAACTCCCATGAGTGACCAAGACAGAATTTCTCCTTACAATATCACCCCAATATCAACCAGATAAGTGATGAGAATAAAGAAAAATATCAATCAGAGGTAAATAAGTTGATCCAATACCAAATTCTCCAAACTAACATAATGAGAATAGTTTGGCGGACAGTAAGGAGAATTACTAATGAGATTGTGGGAATTAAAGGGTTAAACCTAGAAAATCTCAGTTCTCCTTACTAAGACATTCTGCTCGAGGAAATTTGCGAAAAAAGAGATTAAAGCTAAAAGACATTTTACTGCTTCTTATATTTCAAAGGCGTATCACCATTTATCTCCTACTCTTTAGGTTCCGGATTTTGAACAATAGTTTGCAAATCCTAAACGTTTTTTAGAAAATTCAAGTCTCTGTAAAAACCATCATATAACATTCCCTAGATCTACACCATACACTGATTCAAATTATAGCTGGCAATTTGATCCCAAATTAAGAATATCTTCTACTCTGCATTCTTCTTTCTTCTCATCACATTGCTGTTTGAAAAAGTATCGACAAAGTGAGGAGAAATTGCTTTTTGGTCAATCCAGGGAGAGAGAGGGTTAAGGTTTTGACAAGCACGAGGTATCTTTCGAGAAGAATTAAAGGCACATTTCCATGACAAACATAACAAAAGAGTGACGACATGCTAGTCGCCGTCAAGGCGATAGTTTGCAACGTACGAATGTTTGAGATTTTTTGCTAGTCTTTATTGTGCTCATCTCAGTAAAGTATCTTTCGTTCCCACAAATGTAAATTGGTGTAAAAGGCAATATCAACAAAAAATCGTGAAGTACAATAATAGCCAGATGAATTAATACTAATCCACGGAGTTATCAGGTTAAATAGCGTTATTTACCGACGATCCCTGCATTCCTAATCCCGGCCTCTCACGCATGCGCGGTCTTCCTTCCCTTCCACTGGCTTTTCCCTTGCCTTGTCGAAAACGAGACTTCCTAAACCAAGCATTCTATGGACCCAAGCAAGAAAAATTTACATAAAGAGGAAAGCAAAGCAAATATCACGAGAGCGTCGAAAGTAAATCGCGTTTGCATCGATTTTACTTAATTTCGTGCTGTGATTGGTCCACACAACCAGAGCCACCCTCTAAACCAATCAGATGCGGACTAAAAACCAAACGTGACTTGGTCACAATGTTTGTCGTCTTGGGTAGTACCTAGCAGGCTCCTTCTTACTCTTAGATCTTAAGCCACGCACATAGAGCTAGAGCCAATGAGAACTCAGAGTGAAAACAAGCAAATTGCCTAAAGCGCGGGAAAACGCGGGCGACCAAGTCGTAATTGGCGCATTAGAGGTCGTTAAACATCTGATTTGTAGAGAAAGGGGTGCGAGTTTTTGAACCAAACACAGAGCAAAGTAAAACAAAACCAATTAACATCAAGATTATTTTTGAACTCAAATGAAAATTGCTCCATACTAAAATCGCGATTGAAAACTCAAGTAACCGTCACTCTTAATCTTTTCCGATTTTCTTGACAAATGTCTGCATCAAGTCGTCTACCCTTGGAGTTTTTACCGCTGGCAAGTTTTTCCAACAGAAGTCTGCCTGTTTAAAACCTGAAATAACAGGTTATGGACATGGGAATTTGGCGCCAAAAACTTGTTTTAACTGGCAATCTACCCACTAAGGAAAACTTATAAGGGGATAACACATGAATGAAAATGGGTCTACAGACTTGCAAACGATATGTTTTCACGAGTTAAGAAAGAAGTAGTACGCTTAATAATAAAGAACCTTCAGTGCCATCTCCATCAGAGCCTCAGGAACCACTTGATTAGCTCCTTCCTAATAAAAACAAGAATTATGCGTTAGAGCAGGTGGATATTTATATTTATTTGTAGTAAACCACTTGATCAGATCCTTCCTGATATAAACAAGCATTACGTACTAGAGCAAGTGGATATTCATTTAAGTCTGAAAATTACATGGACGTGATATTTTGACCTAAAGAATTGGTACTCGTTTCCCAAGTTTCTCTTACTTTCCAAAGTCTACCAAAGATACACTACCAAGGAAAATTTTGGTAAACTCTTAGATGGGTTAGAAAGTTGACAGGTTTAAACGAAAGCTTTACCCAAATACATCCAATTCATTATCAAAGAAGTTAACGTCCTCCATGGGCAAGGTCTGCTTAATTGCAGTTTTTGAAGCCTTTTCCTTTCCCTCCTTTTCCCCCTCTAATAGCGGAGCTCGCAGAGCGTAGCCTCATAATTATACAAAATAGTAGTAACCCATCAAGCCGAAAAAATTTGGATGTACGACCGTACGACCGTACAAGGTGCTACTTTTAACATACAACTGTACCGCGGGCGCGCCAATGCCACAGCTTTGTCCAGTAGTCCAGTGTACTGGGCTCCGAGTCGCACGACCCGGGTTCTAGTCCTGGCCGGGGCAAGACGTTGTGCCCTTGAGAGGTGCGGGAAAAAAAAATGCGAGCTATCTTAACTTAAGCGGGTTCTTCGAAATTAATCATGAATATAGCAAAAACTCACCAAATTTCGCACAAGATCCCCTGAAAAATTTTGATCTGCTGACGTGAGAAGGGTGTAAGCCACACCCTTTTCCCCTGTACCAAAAAAGAAAAGTTGAATTAACATACACAATCTACGCCTTATTAGAAAAATGACTATGGCAACAGAACTCCCACAATACTAAACGTTTTTAAACATATTTTTCTCCACTCAAATGATTCTCAACTCTCCTTTTTACGTGTTCAGTATTTCCCCGTATATTGGTTAATATAATTTGGAGTTAGATCAGAAAAACACCATCCAGCTAGTCAGTCTTTCTATCTCTACCACTCTCTTTTGGTTGAATAATGCCTCGATATAGCAAGAAGAATTCATCTAGTTCATTACTTTCGGGGGTAACTCACTTCCTGTAGCCTGCAAAAGGGGCTCAGGAAGGCATTACTTTGAATTCCGGCTATATCTTTTGGAGTGAACGACAGAGCAAGTACTTACTCGTATTTGCTAGAATTAGAACCTCTAACAAACTTACCTGCTCTGCCAGTCCGACCAATCCGGTGTGTGTGCGTGTGGATGTCACGTGCCACATCGTAATTAATGACAGTTTTAATTGACGGAATGTCCAAGCCACGGGCTAAAATGAAAACCAATTCATCAACGCTAATACACCGGCATTTGACTGTCGTCCGTGCCGGGGGGTGGGGGGAATTTGAACCGCCAGAGTCAAGTATTTTAAAAGAAATACACATGTTTTATCTTTTAATGTGGAGGTGTTTGAAAGGTCCAGAGTTCACTTCCGCGAGCGAATGGCTACTTCTTCAAGGTCTAGGATTAAACCTGCTTGATAGACTCATCAGCTTCCTCTCAGCCAAACGGCAAAAACGTGGGCCAAGCTGGAGTCGCACATGCCTTCAATTCCTCCAAAATTGCGTAAAGAAATGTCAACGTTCGCAGCAATCTCTTTACACATCCTCTGTGTGCGCAGCTTGCGCGCTGAGTGAAATTAAACTTTGCTTCCTACCTGCTACGTCAGTCGCTACTAGAATGGGGATCTCTTGTTTCTTGAATGAGTTGATGACTTTGTCTCTCTCGAATTGATCCATATCTCCGTGCAATAACACCACTGAGTAAAGAGAGGCCAAAAGCAATATAAACCATATCAGTTATTTGTAATTAGTGACACGGATCAAGGTAACAAAATATTTTCGATTATTTAAATGGCAGAAAGAAGAAAATTCCCCCCCCTCGAGCCAAGAAGGGTAACCTTTTTCTACAGATATTCTCCGGGCTGGTCTTAAAAGAGAGAAAACAAGTGCAAAAAAAGTAGTTTCTTCCCTAAGGAGATACGGTGCCCTGGTGACGAGGGCGGTGAACTCAGATCGAGAGTGGATAGGCTCTAATCCCTCACAGGTTGATTCAGAGATAATTTGTCACTTGCTATAACGATTTGCTGATGCTCATTGTTGAACAACAATCTAGGTTGCATTTGAAAGATCGCCTTCCCACGAATTTGAAAGACAGGCACGAGATAACCTTGGGCGTTAAAACTGACATATATGCAACAATCTAGGACCTACCTTCAAAATCTTTGGTTTTGAGTTTTGATGCAAGTTCTTCACTGTTGGCCTTTTTGGTCACAAAGATGAGGACACTTCCAGCTTAGAAAGCAAAATACATGTAAGTGAGAGAAATACAAACTAACATCACTTGTGACAAATTCCTGTGGAACAAAAATTAAAATCACGTCGAATCCTCTTCAAGAAACCCAACCTTCCTTAAATTGGAAAACAAGGTACGTGAATTGAGAATTAGAAACATTGGAATTATTTCATTCGTACAGCAAATAGCGAAATTATAGGGTCCGAGTCTTTTAGTAGGGAAGTATGAAGAACACACAAGACTTAAATTCGTAGAGTGCTTTTCCCAATTTTCCGTTGATTACCTGATGTGAAAGAGACTAAATGCCTTGTTAGCCATGTCCATTTATCACTGATACTTGGTAAGATCTCCACGATCTGTGTTACATCTTCATTTGCCTGCATAGACAGGAAAAATAAGTGGGAAATTAAATACAGAACAAGTAAAATTCTTGTGTTTCCTTGTAAATGATCCACTACGTTGGAGAAAATTATAATGTTTTCTCAAACTCTCACCCCTATCTTAATAGTTAATGTTTTACGAACATAGTGCATCTTTTAGCTACGGTTCATTTCAATCCTGATAAAATAAATTTTTATAATTATTGTTCCGCAGTGTATAATGTACTACAAGGGATACAACTCTGAACCGAACTATTTGCCCGCTCCCACAATGACCAGACAGGTTTTCATTTACAAGTTTGTTTACAGTATCTGATAAGCGATTATCATCAGTAACTGATAACTGGTTAGAAACTTCTTCTAAGTACAGCGTATATGTCTTTTCTTCCTCAAACGATTATTCCTTACCTCGCCAAGCTCTCCCACCACAACTCTAATAGGATCTGTCAAGATATCCCGACACAGCATCTCGACTTTTTTCTTAAATGTGGCACTGAAGAGCAAGGCTAAACACAACGAAGCAAAAAGACAAACAACTTAAAGCAGTGATAATATTTTCAACTCAGATAGCTGGATTAGAGATGAAAATTGCATAAACGAAGGAAGCGCAAATTGCAATTAACCGTCAATTTTGGCATGTGAAGTTACATATCAGAGCAACAATCATCTATTTATTTATTGAGAAAAGAATAACGAGGTGAAATAAGAGGTAATACTCACTCTGTCTATCGGGACGAACGTTATTTGCGATCGACCTCACTTGCGGCTCTAGAGAAAAACATTTCGTAACATTAAAGGACAAGTATCAGGTTTTGATTCCCACAACAGAAATAAGCAAGATGTCCATATGTGTCCATTTACACCCCATTAAAACACTTCGAAACCATAAAGCACTCTTAAAAATAAGAAGAAATGAGCAACACTTCTCTTTAGTAAATTAAAGATATTGTAAACCTCATAGTCGCTGTTGTAGGGCGCTTTTGCGATCGATTTAAAGCCAAAACAAAAGTAATCTTGACAGCCAATCAGAACAAAGGTTAAAATCACCAGGAGCCAATAAGAAATCAAAGTAAAAACAAGAAAAAGGCTTGAGGCGCGGGAAACGCAGGCGACCGAGGAGCGATTGGTTTCAGGCTTAAATTTGACTGGTTGAGAAAGAGGCGCGAATTTAATGGGCCAATCACAGAGCAAAGTGAAGCAAAACTAACGAAATCCCGGATTACTTCGACACACAATTGAAAATTCTGCTATTCGAGCGATGCTTGCTCATGATGCTTTCAGCCGTGTAGTTTACCTACCAAATCCCATGTCAAACATCCTGTCAGCTTCATCAAAGACCAGATATGTAACTCTTTTCAGATTTGTGCCCTTTGCCTTCACATGATCAATCAGACGACCCTAATGTTGGATGACAATAAAGTTATAAAACTAATAAAAAGAAGGGATAACGTTGTACATGAGATTTATTTGACCACTTGAGACTGCAGTCATTTAAGGTACCGGTAGTTGTAAAGAATGGTTAACAACGCATGTCCCGATTTAAGTTGGAGTCTTAGAAGTAACCTGTTACCAGGAAAGAAAATGAGCAATTTGGTGTCTCTATGGTCTTCATCTGTTTTTTTTTCCGATGAAGAAGCATGTATCTTTTTTTATTTCCTTGTTCTAAAAAGGAGCACATGAAGCGCAGAATGGCACTAATAAAATGTCTTTTTTTATAGTATATTTCAATAAACCTGGAAAGAAAGAAACACGACTCAAAGATCATTTCGACCCACGATTCATTGTAAAAACCGATGTTATTCAGTAAGTGAGTCACTGGGAGTCAAACCCACGACCTTCCGATTACTACTTCAAACGTTCTACCACTGCGCTATAGGAGACTTGTGACAGGCTAGGTCGTTTAACTGGGTCCATGCTGACAAACATCCTGCTAACTGCTAGGATAGGAATATCGAATGAAATGCTTTTGCACAGTGATGATGTAAATAAAGATGGTCAATTTGAAGCGTGGTTATTTAGGTGAAACTTCCACATCTACACCATACAAAGTTTCCTTACTGGAGTAGCAACAACAATTTCTGCTCCTTCCTGAAGAGCTTTTGACTGCTCATATTTGTTGCCTCCACCAAACACAGCCACAGCATGGATGTTGTAAACTTTTCCAAACCGTCGAGCTTCAGCAAAGATCTGCTGGCAAAGTTCTCTGGTAGGTGCACATATGAGGGCAATGGGTCCATCACCAGGCTCCAGCTCAGGTTGGTCCATGATATGAACCAGTGCTGGCCACAGGAAGGCGGCAGTCTTACCAGAACCTGTTTTAGCAATGCCTATGATGTCTCGGCCACTAAGTGCCACAGGGATTGCCTGAAAAAAAAAAGGTACAGAGGAACCATTTATGAATCTCAATTCATTCAGGCTTCATTGAAAATAACCCTTGTCAGTCACAGTAGTATGGAAGAAATAGCTTTTTCCATCAAACATTCCTTCCTTGTCCCTTTCCCACTTTGCTAACTGCCCTGAAAGCCACAGTTCAAAGCAGAACCAAGGAGAAACACTGAATTCACATTTTTTTTCTCTCTCCTATGTTTATTGCAATTGAAGAACTGATGAATGACAGTTTAGTTACAGTGATACTATACTAACATAATGCTACACAGATGTTCGCCAGAACTGATATTCTGACTTTTAAATTTAGAACAAAATGCAAAAAGATATCTTGGAGAAAATAATACACTTGTGAGAAATTATTTTTCAGGAGTAAGCCAAAACCTCTATTTAAGTCCGCCTGAGATCAAGCTCATTAATTTTTATCAATTTAACATTTTTTGGGAGTTGCCATCAGTTGGTTTAAGGTGACCTTCTCTCAATCTTTCTACCCAAGGAGTGGTAAGCTTAGGGTAGCAGCCAGCAACCAGAAGCTATGCCAGCTTGCCACCCACTAACAATGTACCATGGGTTTCCATTGGGTAAGTAGGGATGTGTTATACAACTGCATGTGATGTTAAAGGGGGTAAGTTTCTAAAGAAACTTTGGCGCTGCATTGTGGGAGAGTATATGAGGGTAATTTAGTATTATCAACTGAGTTCAACTGATAATGTAGAGTAGCTGCCGTAGAGAGTTTTAAAGCTGACATTTCAAGCACTAGCCCTTCATTAGAGCAACTCAGTTGATAATATTAAATTACCCTGCATGTGATGTCAGTTCTTGATTTCCATCATACCTGACACTGGATCGGTGTTGGCTGTGTGTATTCAGACTTCCTGATTGCACCCATGAGCTGTTCATCAAAGCTAAAATGTGCAAAACTGATGGATGGCTTTGTAGGCTGAGCACCTGACACCTGCCAATCAATGACAATGATGAAATGCAAATCCTGAACTTAATAGGAATTAATGGCTAACACAAGTTTGCACTAATTTAACCCCCAATCTCTTAAGTTAAGGATTTTTGACAATACTGAGTATCAATCCATATAAAGGTATCAAAACTGACAATCAATGACCATGATAAACTGTACATTCTGAAATAACACAAATTTCTGCCTAAAAAATTTGAACTGCAGTTTCTTTTCTGGTGGATTTAGGCAATACCTAAATCAAACATTGTGCAAAGCTGAGGGAAAAATGTTCAAAACAAGATAGAGCTACTTTAGGGTCTTATTACCTTCAGGAGCAGTTTAACCCTTTCACTCCCAAGATCACATAAGTAATTCTCCTGACTGTGTGCCATACAATTCTTTACACTTAGTTTGGAGAATTTGGTATTGGATCAATTAATAATCCACAAATTGATATTTTTTAATTCTTATCACTTGTGTGCTTGATATTGTATGAATATTGTGAGGAGAAATTCTCTCTTGGTCACTCATGGGAGTTAAAGGGTTAACTCCTCATAGTTTGTTTTCTATAGTTTTTTCATAAACAAAAAAAACACATGAACACTGGTAGAAGGTGCCATAAAAGGAAACTCAAGGCTTAGAATAAGCTATAAATTCTGGTTGTTGATAGTTTTCATTCTTTTCCTAACCAGCCCTCCCCTCACAAAGACAAAATTTAAAAGTGCTTTACACATATTCAATCCAAAGAATTCTCTAAAATAATTTTCATATCGTTTAATAACCCACCTTCATTCCTAACTTTCTCCTTAAATCCTGAACATCTTGGTTGGTTAGTTTAGCAATTTCCGTATGCTCGATGTAGAAGTTCTTTTCAAAAGGTGGGTAGTCAATCTACAACAAGACAAAAGAATGCCAAAAAAAAAAATAGTGAGGAATGCACCAAAGAAGGAAGTCACTCAAAAATAATTGAAGATAAAATGAAAATAAGACCAGTGTTCTCCAGAGATTATTTAGAGGCCAGCCATGAAGCAGGAGAAGTGTATGGCATGTGCATATTATCTCTAAATAAAACAGAGGCAGTGTAACCAAGTGGTCAGGGTACCAAACTTGAAATCTGGTGGTTCCAAGTTCAAGCCCACCCCACTGGTTTTGTTCTCAGTTACTCTGAGTTCAACTTTTTGGCTGTACTTTGTATACAGCCAACCAATTTGCCTTCAGCCAGTTGGGATTTTTAAACTCTATGGGTTGGTCAAGTCTACAAGGTCTAACACAAACCACAGTTTTACACAAGCAATTAGTTTTAAATAACCAGCCCTTTTTTTTTTTTTGGACAATGTCTATTTACAGTTTGTTTCAGTGAACAAGAAGAGTCACCAAATGGAATTTCTACTACTAAATCCAATTATTTTCATTTTTATCCCCATTATTTAGTATCTATTACCCCTGCAGTTACCTACTATTGGTTTCTTTCCAGTATAATGAAAAAAAGGCAAAGGTTGAAATTTGTTTCAGATTAAAACAGGTATTTCTCAGTTTTTTCTTGTAAAAGAATCCGCCCCTTCAGAAACAAGTAGCCATTCAGCATGCAGATTGCAGGTGCTTCTGGGCTGGGTTGTTCAAAGCTGGATTAAGATAACCCAGGATTAGTGTGAAATTAGATTTCAGATGTGAATGCTTTTAAAGGAAATCCAGTGTAATTTTCTTTGTCCACAATGTTGTGATTTGATGCTCTAAAGAGAATATAGAGAATCATCCCAAACAGGTCTTAAACCCACACCCTAACATCAATACCCATATTCTCTTTACTGGTCTCTTTACATTTCCTCATGTGCTTGCAAGGAGAATTTGTTTAACAATCGAGAGGTTCTTCAGTTAATTATCATTTCCTTTATTCTCATGACCTTGATGTTTAATTCATGGGTGATATTGAAAGGAGAAATTAGATGCTGGTCACTCTTAGGGATTAAAGGCTTAACAAAGACATCAAAGAGGCCCAGATTAAAATTTAACCTTGCATTTTGGGTTAGTGCTAATCAGCCTTTGAACAACTGGGCCCTGGAGAACAATGGTAAAAGAAATAAAAAGAACAATAAATTTATAAATAAATGGTATCAAGGCTACCTCAAAGTGGTCCACAGCTGGAAGTGGTACAATAATCTGCAAAACACAACAAAACAAAAAGAAAAAGCAAATTAATTGATATGTAACAATGAGGATCAGTAAGTCTCTTTAACAGACAAACCACTGATAAATTAGAATTACCTTGGACTTCTCTGGAGCAATAGGATTTCCATCACTATCGTACTCTATTTCTTCCTCATCATCAGGATACGCAATAACAGGAGCATTCTTGATGTAATTGAAATATGACTCCTGATCATCTTCCTCCTCGATGTCATCTCGTCTGATCCTGGTTACATCACAAGTTTTCACAAGTAATTAGTATTGCTTGTATAACGACAACAATGCAAGCTAAAATTGCCATATACTAAATGAAATTTGTACGCTGTGTTTAGGGGCCATGCAGCAACCTGTAAAGTTCTCTTTGATCAGAGCTCTTTTCAAAAGACAAATGGTATAGGGCAGCTGTACAGTAATATCATGAAATAGAGCACTATGTCCACTTTTCCCTTTGGTTTCTGGCAATTAAAAAATTACTTCTGGGGACCATTTTAGGATTTTAGCAGGGATTTCAAAACAAGCTGGTGACAACTAGAGGTCCGCCGGCTACTTGATGACATGTTGCCAGTTGCTTGGGTCAAAAAAATTACCTTTTGACCCTTAACCCTTTAACTCCCAGGTCAAATTTTTAACTCCCCTTTCTGTCAACCATACAGTTCTTATAGTGTTAGTTCAGAGAATTTAATATTGGATCAACTAACCATCTCAAATTGATATTTTTCTTTATTCTCATCATGTATGTGGTTGATATAGTATGATTTTGTAAGGAGAAATTCTGCCTTGGTCACCGGTAGGACTTAATGAACTTTTCACAGTCACCTACTTTTGCCAAGTCTGATGCCTTCTTCAAAACATTTTGAAATCCTTGTTTTAGGTCACAAAATGGTGACTTTTATTAAAAACTTGTACCTGAAACTACTTTTATCAATTGCAAAAATACAAGAAGCTATATTTCACAGAAATGTCTCATTTGACTCCTAACCAGCTATAACAGGCCATGCTGTAGCCATGCCTTGCTTGACAAATGTTTTACTATCACAAAAACTTCAACATTTGTCTTGCTTGTAACAAATTGTGTTTGAGTAGGAAAGAATGTCTGTGTGATCCTTGCCTGAACCTTGTGGTAAGAACAAACCAAAATGAAACTAAAACATACTTTTTCTTGTCTTTGTCGCTTTTTTCCTTTGCAGACAAGTTTGCTTCCTTCTGCACTTCATTCTGACCGGATATCAAACACAAAGAATGTTAATCTCTCTATTAGAATGTCAATTCTCCCTACTCTTCTCTATAAATTTCTTAACTCTTTAACTCCCAAGATTTCATAAGTAATTCTCTTTACTGTCTGCCATACAATTTATGTGATGTCAGTTTTGAGAATTTATAATTGGATCAACCAATAATCCCCTAATTAATATTTTTCTTTATTCTCGCTACTTGTCTACTTGATATCGTACTGACAATGCAAGGAGAGATTCTGTCTAAGTCTAGGTCTGTCTGGTGGGACTTAAATGGATAAGGTCCTGACAAGGAAAATTTGGCTTCTTTGGCTGACCACCATTTCCTTTAATCTTCAAGTGTTATTGCAGGGTTTTTTTAAAGGTAGAAATTAGATCCTGGTCACTTTTAACCCTTTAACTCCTAAGATCTGATCATCAATTCTCCCATCTAGCTGTTACACATTTCTTTGTAACTTGGTTATAAGAATTTGGTGTTATATCATGATAACAACCTCTAACTGATAAGTTTGAGTAATCTCATTACCTGTTTGTGGGATGGTGTATGGATATCGTAGGGAGAAGTTACATGTAAATCACTTCTGGGAGTCAAAAGGTTAAGGGTCACTGTGTACACAAGAACATAGCAACGACATGATTGGGCACTTAGAACTAATGTAGTTTTTTACTAAATATTTCCATGTGAAGTATGATACAACCTCAATAAACCACCTAGAGTTCATAGCGTTTTGAAGGTAGCTGTGCTAACTAAACAAGATATCTTACCTGTATTCCCGCCATGAATTTGTCCAACTCATCCTCCTCCTCGTCATCATCATCATCCAATTTGCGACTGGATGGTATGTCTTCACTTTCATCATCATCATCAACAAATTTTGTCTCATCATCCTCATTATCACTATCAACAAATATTCTACAAGTAAAATAATAAGTATGAATCAACTAGCATCTATCAAAAATGCTAAAGTCTGATTGGCTATGTGACTTTTTATCTATTCCATAATAGTGGGCACATTGAATAGGATGACTGAATGCAGTTGTTATTAAACTAAGCTGAAAACATGAACATGTCTCAATGTTAAATTTTATACAAGAAGATTTGAACTGGAACAATTTGATTACTCACTCTTAATTTCTATGCCTGAAAGCTAATGAGGCAAATACTATCACCTGATAGAAACTTTGCGCACATGAAATGTTAAATAGTTTTGTTTAATTAATTGGGAAGTTTTCCAGCAGGGATAGTCTTGTTGGTTTGAAAGGTCAGTTCACAAGGACAGCAAAATATTGTAAGGAAACAAATACTCCCTTCAACCAAGGATGGCCATTTTGTCATTTGGGCAAAAAAAACAATTTAAAAAAAAATCACAATTGACATTGACAAACACAGATGTGCTGTTCTGCTGAATGATAACTATAATCCTAATCAGAATTGTTGAAACATTGCATTGTTCCCCTTTGTCAATGTTGGTAACAAGAAATTTTAAAAAATTGAGAGAGCAATAGAGTCTCTCACCATAAAAGAGTTATTCAACATTATCAACTGGGTTGATACTGTAAATTGGCCACTGTAGAGAGTTTTAAAGCTGACATTTCAAGCATTAGCCTTTCATCAGAGCGATTGACAAAGGGCTAATGCTTGAAACGTCGGCTTTTAAACACTTTACAGTGGCCAATTTACATTATCATATCACTTGATCACTCTCCCACCCATGCAGCACCACAGTTTCTTTAAAAACTAACCCCCTCTGATATGTTTTACAAAAACTTGACTAGTGTGGTACATATAAAAGAGGAATTTGGTGAGCTGGCCAGCATAGAATGTTAGAGTACTTAGACAAAGAAACATCGGATTTCACCAAAAAGATATTGAGCGACCAAAAGCTCGAATGTTTTATTACCAAGCCATAGCTATGACTCGAAGTAACTAAAGCGGTAAACTTCCTCCAGTGTACATAGAACTTAAGACGAAGCAAAATTTCACTGTTGACTTAATTTTGATGACGATCTTATTCTAATACATTCTTTTATTAAAATAATGTAAAAAATAGTTGATCATTAAGCATAAATACTCACGGTTTCCTGGCTCCTGGCAAAGGAAACGATGAAGTACCGTGGAATCCCTGGCCATGGGATGAATGATTTTTCTTTGCACTTCCACCTGATGTACTGACGGGCATGCCGCTCCCTATATTAGCTGGGAGGGGATCTTCTTTCTTTGCTGCTAGAGAAAATCCTCCAAAACCAAAACCTCTCTGTTTTCCAGGTCCTCCCTTGTGAAACATCTTGATTCAAAGAAGTGGTAACTATGAATGTTCTTGATCGAAGCAAACGATAGTAGAAAACCGAAAAAATTTGCGTGTATAAAATCTTCGCTTAGTTCATGTTCAGTAGTGAAAATTCCTTTAATCCAAAGCCCACAAAATTGTCTACAGATCTCTGGATGAGTAGGAAACTTATGTGTTTATTTTCACGCTAGCAATTAGACAGGGAGTCCTCCATTACCAGTTATTGCGCAAATGAATTCAGAACTAGTAAATCTGGCGCACGAATCGCAAAAGATACCGCTGATAAAGACATGTTGATCAAAAGAAAATTGGACTGCAATGTGTTTGACCGATGATTTTACTACGAAAGAAACCCAATGACGGATCGAGCCATGAGCTTGAATCCTGCTCCTGAACTATCCCGTGATTACGATCGGAAATGGCTTTTATTTCTCTTTCAGTTTTATTTGTTTACCACTGAATGGATAGACATAAACAGACATAAGTCTTAACGTGTAATTTAGTGTTAACAACTGAATAAAAAACGTAAATTAGCCACCGTAAGACATAAGTCTTAGTCCGAGTAAAATTGCGTTTCCAAGGGTCAAACCTACAAATTCACAACAGCCATATCAGAATAAGGGTTCGCGTGAGGAGGAACCAATCAGAACTTGACGAGTATGCTGTAACCATGTGGTGATCGGTTTCAGTTTCGCCTATGATGCTTTGCGAACACAAAGGTCAATATTCTGTGCATAAGCAAACATTGTAATGGATAGGAGGCTTGTTATCATACTGTTACAACCAAGTTGTCCCACAGGAGTATAAATAAACAACCACATGACCCAGGAAATCACGGTGCTTCAAAGACAACTTATTTTCTCTAGATCTCAAACGAAATGGCGAGTCTACAGGATACCCTTAGTTTATAGTTTAAGCGTTATTTTCGAAAAGTCTGGCAATTTCTTTTTCCCTACTTCGAAATTTTGCACGAGAAATTGGCTTGCAACTAGCAAAGTTTTACTACTTGCGCATGCCCGACGTTAAAGCGCTTTGTCTGAGTCGTAGTTAAGAGGGTGGTCCAAATTTGTGAGGGAAATGTTAAGGCGAAGTGAAGCAAAACCTGTGTAGCCCTAGATTCCTCTCAACAATTAATTGAACATTGCTTTAATCTATCAACCTATTAAAGAGCGAAGTAAACCAGATAAGTGGAGTTTCGAATAATTTTCAACTTTTAACATCGTAGAATACTAGCGTAGCCTTTTCCTATTCCCAGGTTTACAGATAGCCCCAGTTGGTTGCTCCACGATCCAATTTGACGGCGCCAAGATCGAAAACAAAAAATAGATTATTGCCGGACAAATAGATAAATACATGAGTCAGGAAAAGGAATCCCTTGCAGTCCACATGCATAGCTTAGATAATATAGTTTGGTTAACATCCTATAAACAGTATATTCAACATGCTAATTAAGTAAATGGATTGATTTGTACAACGATGATAACACGTGGTTAGTCAACTAAAGATACTTAGTTCACCGAGAGTCCAATCTTTCCTAATTGCATCTTGCTTTAAATTGAAAGTTAAGAGTAGGTGAAATTGTTTGTCAAACTTGCATGCAGATCTTTAATCATTTCCTTCCTCTTTTAAGATAGCAATGGAGGAAGGAAATTGCAATGTTACATCCGATGGAATTAGGCAGCCTTTCCTGCGCTCATTTATCCCCTTTCTTTTTTGAAGAAATTAAAGGATGTTTGACGTCCTCTGCAGCATGGGCTTTACCGCCGAATGCTCCGGGAAGGAAGTTTTAGATATTTTAACCCTGAGTGCTTTTATCAAAAAGTTTAACGTAAGTGAGATATATACTTCGCGGTTTCTGATTGCTCAAAATCCGTTGTTTATTGTATCCGCAAATTCATACAAACATCTTTATGACGAATACAACATATCGCAGACTCTTCCGGTTGAGAGAAAATAATATATAGAGCATTGGGGATGTTGGGATGGAACGAGTTAAGCTTGTGAATCATAAGATCTGTTTCGTCACAGGCCTATGCGTGTATTCATCAAAGAAGCGGTTCCACTATTTAGTTACAAGTCATTGAACAGAAAGAGAGTCTGTATTTGGCCTTGACTGCGTAATTTACATGCACTTTTTCCGCATTAGTCTATCGAAACAGGAAATTCGGCAGAATGAACCAGCCCAGTCATTGACCTATCGTCGCAAGATGAATGTGAATATGTCAGTGTTCAGGGAAAGTTTTAATAATTGACTTCAGGAACATCAAAACATGTCAAGTTCCTTGATTCAAATAAAAGAGGTTTTCGCTAATCTCCAAGCAGAGCTTAAACTCTAAGTAGCCGGTCCTGAAAAATTGACTTGATTACAATTACGATGATGTAAATATTAGTCACTGTTTACACTACAGCTGTGCATGGCGATGGAGGAAACTGTTTTCGAACAGAACGAACATCTGTGCGAATCTATCCTAAGGAGCACTTCTCGTTCTTCCTATTTCTATTCATGTAAAAAATTGCGATGAAAGTTTGGGAACGGCTTTGAAAGAAAAGTTTAAGACTAGAGTAAGCTTAGACGACAGAACCTTTGAGGACTCTTGAAATGCAAACGCGGTAAAGTGAATTGCAAAACTAGGACATTAATGATATGCATGATACGAAAACAGAAAACTGAAGGCCTGTAAAACCGTGGCAACTATAGCGCTCTGGAGTAATCGTCCGACGATAAACAAAGGAAACGAACCAAAGAAGTAATTGTTTCGTGTGTCGGCTCGCGTTTCGAAATTTCTCAGCAATATCAGATGGCAACACGAAATATATGAATATGATCAAAATAAGTCAAGCGTTTCACAGACGACAGCCGCATACATTGTCGTAGAGTTGACCATGGGGGTTTTTAACCGGACGTAGAACGTAGAAAAGAAGGACACGATATACATTACGTCAAATAACGATATAGGTTTATTGCCGGCGATTTTCTTGTTGTAAATTACAAAGAGTTTCTGGAAAAGGTAGTCTTGTATGTAGTGGTTTGTATGGTTGGTTCAAGAGAAGACTTAGATGTTGGTTGCTTGACTTCAGAACAGTTTATGACTGCTTTCGTGACAGTTTTAAATAAAGTGAGTTTATTGTGTGATTTACGCCTGAATTGCTGAAGAACAATATGTTTGATGAGTCCTAACAACCTCAATTACCAGCGATGCAACTCGAAGATATATAAGTCGTGTTGTTTAAAGTGTAATCCATATCAAGAGGTATTGGCGCTGACGGTAACAACAGCTTGTTACAGCGAATTTGTTATTCAAACAAACCTTGGTAATTGTATCGACGATTTACACATGGCAAACCTAAGGGTAAGTAAAATTCGAACGATTTTCGCCGGTACTGAGGTTTGTAGGCAACTGGAACACCAATTTGCGCGCACCGGCATCGGCGACAAGATGGCTGTTTACAAATATACTTCGCTTTTTCTCGGGTCGTAGTGACGTTGCAAAACATATTCGAATCTTCAAAAATAAGCCAACATGGTTGTTGAAGTTTCTTTCGGTGGTTACTCTTAGCGATAAGGCTCTCGATGATCTGTATTTGTGATTTAAACTAGTCACACGATGGAATTCTGATAAGGAAAACTTACTGAATTTTCGACAAATTCTCTGGTTGCAAAAGGAGATGATCCGTCTTGATCATGGCGCCTGGTATAAGCTTCACATGAAACACAGCTTATACCAAAACAAATGTGGTTTCAACAAGCAACAGAGAAATTAAAAATAAAAGCGAATGAAATGAGAGGAGGCAGGTTTCCTGGCAATTGAAGAGTATAAGCGTTATTATCCTGAGCAGGACAAATGTGTACAACATTTTTTTTTTAATTTAACATTCACTATTAGATTTTGTTTTTGTCGCCGATAGATTTTCCTGGTTCTCACGCTGTTTCTGGGTGTTTCCCTGGCTCTTGACGGAATTGAAAATTCCCGTGACAAAACTGCCCCTAACAAGTGGAGCTTCTTAAAGCGAATCGGGGGCAGGAAAACAGAGGATTCAACCAAAAGGTTTGTGTGTGTTGAATTGCAGTCCGCAGACTTTCTCCCAGGTGTAAAATTTTACCACATAACAACTAGCTCTTAAATGCTTGAAAGAGTGTGTTAAATGTTTATTTTAAAGATCAGGCTATTTGAAAAGAAAACTAAAGGCTTCCTCGACTCCAGAATAATGTCCTGTCAACTGGGCAAAGACTGTTGTGAATATAGTAAAAACTTGCTCCGACACGAGAAGACATTTTACTTAAGGGAGATTAAGTATTTCGATTATATTCCACACTTAATCTAGAACGGGCGGGTTAGAATAATATCTATACAATGCGGAAAACAGAACACAGTGAACCTTAACGAATCCTTTGTCACCATCTGCCTTTTTTGATATTAATCTGACGAGGGAAGAGCGGGATTGGGGCTAGTGTAAAAAATTGGAAACATTGAGTTTTCTTGTATTCTGAACACAATGCTTCATGTACACGTGGGATATTTTAAAAGGAATGCTGATATTCTTTTAAATTGACATAGTATCGGCAGAATAATTTCTGCATAACAGTTAACACCTGGCCACAATTTCCTTATCTCTACTTGGACATGTTGTTCCGCATGTCGTCTTGATTTGATAATCACGTGCTGTGCACGCGGCGTTGACTAATCCACATACAGTTGGATTTGCATTTAATCTGAGATCATTAACAAGCGTATTTAAAAGACAACTTACCCTTGTAGTGGTTGTGTGGTTTTTTTTTCCCCTCGCTACAACGCACGTGGTAACCGGTGGTTAATTATCGCCGGGGTGGGGGGTGGGGCAGAAGATTTCATTGTGTTACGATAATTTACCTAATATGCCATAAGGCTCTGTACTATTCGTATGACCTTTCCTCATTTGTAATAAATTGGCATTCGACTTTTCTATAGTCTCCCTTTACACTCGTTTGGCGATGATTACCCTTTCATTCCCCTTTAAAACCGTGTGATCCTCTCACCCAAAAGTCCTCCGACCCCAGTTAGTTCGCAACGGCTGTGTCCATAGTCGCATCTTGGCTTTCCTTTTGGACTCGATCATGTCGTAGTCCCGCCAGGTCATGCTTAGTTTCTTTAATTTGCTTAATATTTAAGCCTCACTTCTATATCCTCTACAAGAGTTCTTTAGCTGTAGATTATGACCGAGGGTCTTAGTCGACCGGGCGTAGTCCTTGTGTGCTTGTAAACACCCGTCATTGTCGTGAGAGAGTGATCATTTTTGATACCACAGAGTAACTAATCAAAGACACACGCTCCCTTCCCTTTTGAAAAATCCTGCGTTCGCCCTTTTTAGAGGGGGTAAGTTTCTGAAAAAGCTGTGGTGCTGCGAATCCGGACTCCATCTGACTAAGGGCTAACGCTCGAAACATTAGCTTTGGAATCTATTTTACGGTGGCTAAATCAAATTACCAACTCTTTTGAGATAACCAAATTAACTTGTACGCCCTTGCAAAGGTCGATTCAGAAGCTAAGTCGTTGGAATCTGGATCCAAATATTCCGACCCCAAATATCGTGAAACAACCACGAATTAATCTTTCTCATATCCCTCCTCTCTGCACGCCGGTCATGCAAGCAGATTTATACCAGACTCCCAGAGAGTCTTCAGCCGCTCGGCTAAAATCCTTCCTCCCGTCTGAGAATGATGACCAGGCTATAACATTATCGCCGTTGGCATCGGCGCCGTTGTTACTTGGTCTTCTGGTAAGACTAGGTTTTTCGGCTGAGTGAATAGGAGCTGTAGTTGTGACGCAAATCATATGTCACTTTGAGTCAGTATTTACACACCTTGTTGGCTTTAATTTGTGGTTTCTTTATTTGTGTTTTGCTTAGTTTGCCACAAAATAAACTTGGTCATGAGAGCATATTAGGATTATCATGAACAGTAAAGTTTCCTTTTATTTCAGAAACCAGCTTCCCAACACAGTTACTACCGTTCAATCCGATGACTACGGAGACCACTTTCATAGTTTGTGTCATGAACACCATTCCCACAAACCCCTAGAAAACATTTGGATCGGCAACAAAATGTTTCGGCCAGCGCAGCGATATGTTCCTGAAACGCGGTGCTCTACGAACGTGGATGACTCTGACGTTTATATGTTTGAAGACAAACCCCATCAGATCTGTACTGTAAAGGAATCTGTTACTTATTTTTGCGCTACACTAACTAAGGAAAGAACTGTCGTATACTGGGGATTCTCACCCCCTTTTGTCCAAAGGCGAAAAGAAACTTTTAACAGCGGATGTGGATGTGTTTTTGCTAGTGATCTCTAGTCGATAAGCTCTTGAGGTATTCTTGAACCCAGATCTCACCCGTGACTATAGCTGATCGTGGGAGATCTGGTTACCAAGGGAATCCCTGAGCTTAATATTTTTTTCTAAATAACCCCCCCCCCCCCACGAATTATTCTGATTTAGGGCTTAGACGTTTTACCATTCGTAGTTACTTCCTATCTGTAAAGTGAATAAAATTAGTCATGTAACTCAAGTAAGCAAAATAATATACAGTACATTATGTTCCGTTCGATCATTATTACAATATATGAATTATCTAAATTATCATTTGACCAAAGTTAATCTGGTCAGTGATAGAGTTCATCTTTAGTAAATTAGAAATATTTCATAGTTCAGCTTGTGAACTTTCTCAGACACATCACCTAATTTTCAATAGCGGATTGTAGGTGACGTCGCCCCCTTCCACAGTCGCCTTAGGTTCCGACGCCCTCTAGTTTATAAAGTTCCATCGCCCCAACTTTTGACATAAGTTAAATTAATATTTTGAACGTATTTTCACACAAGTTTAAAGGCGGGAGGTTCGTCAGCTCGAGTTTCAAAACCTTTAACCAATATTACGCAACATTGCGATCATTGGTTGAGGGTTTTGATACTTGGGCTGTCGAACCTCTAAGCTTAAAAACTGATATCAAGACACGTTTGAAACATTTAGTCAATTTGAGTCAATAATTGGATGGGGGAGGGGACGCAACGGAACTCGGGGACGACCGTGCAGAATGGCGACGCTACCTATGACCTCGACAGTGCATAGGCACTGTTACTGATTTAGTAAGGAAGGTGTGAAAGTGAGAATTATCAATTAAACTATAGTGTGACAAGACATGAATCGAAAATCATTTAGTTCTATCGACGATAGGGAAATCATACAGGGACTTTGATTCCCTACAACAGCAAGTGGCTTGAATAATTTCGTGTGGGTGCATTATTAACAATTTTTGTCGTTTAAAATGTTCCCAAATCAGCCTATCATAAACAACTGAGGATGAGGGTTTTTTTTTAATGATATCCAAAATAATCAAGATCGAGGAAGGGGTTATCGACCGAAGTCGAAGACTGAAGCTGATAACCCTTACCAATATCACAAAAACCGCATCTAATAATTGTTTTATTATACAGTGAACGGAAAAAAATAGTCACGACAGTAAGTGGAACTGGTAATTTCTAAACGTGTAAAAATATACAAATCAGCAAGCAACACAAAGCGCGCGAACTTGACATGATTACCCATAGAAATCATGCGCCGCGGTCATACATGACATTATTATTTGTAACCTTGAGTGTCCTTGACATGATTAATGTATAATCTGAAGCTATATGACGTCCCAGGCGCTGATTTCGAAGATTCATTGTACGCTTTCAGCTGATCAGAAGAGAGATAGTGAGTTGAATGTACAATAATTTGGTTTATTATGTGGTAAGGGCGAACTTGTTACATTTAATAGGGCGAGTTCGCTGTGAACTGGTAAACTTGCAATAGGGTGAACCTTAAAAAAGCCATTTCGATAAAGGAAACCATCAATTAAGTTTCAAACTGTTTCTCAAGAGCAAAGCTTTGTGTCAGGGCATTCCTTCCCCCATTCTCAAAGAATTTTTGAATGACTCATCGTCTCTTGCTGCCTCTTGATGGGCATTATCAGCTCGCTGGAAATACCCATGTCAGATAAAGTCAATTATAACTTCTTCATTAACAATGAAGAGAATCTTTCATAATTTAGAATGCTACGAAAGGAATAATGGCCACCATTTGCTAGTAGGGAAAAATAAATTACTCAACTGCCTTTTTCGCAGAATAAAAAGTAAATTTCTTTTTCCTTTCGAGTTAAACCTCATCAAGTTATTTGTACGTCTTGTTTGTCACTCTTAAGACGTTTCTTGAATTACCGTTCCCTTCTTTCGCACATGAAGAGATAACATCAGTGGGCCATTCTACCTCAAGATCTGCGTCATCGAGTTCCTCTGTCGTAAAAATATTGCAGTTCTCTTTCTGAGGGGCTCCGCTGCTATTTCGCGTAACAGTTGTCGTAGCTTCAATAACCGGTTTCTTTGAAAACATTTGAATTATGTTTTTGCTTTTTTCCAACGAGACCGAGGATATACGTGAACCGTTAGCACTACTTGCAAAATTGACATTTTCATTGCTGTTTAAAACTGTTCTCAAAGCTGAAGGGTTTCTTAAGGAGGTCTTCTCGTTTGAATTGTTTATGTTGGTTGTCTCTTCGCTTCGTACGGATTTTTCACAAACAGACACTTTATCTGAAACACTGTCCGTGAGAGTATCCATTCCAACATTCGAAGATGCGATTGGAAAGACTCCTGTTAATTGGTCGGGAGAATATAACTCGGCGAAATCTTTAGAGACATTGCTGTCATTGGTGAGTTTATAGTTTTCTTCATCACTGGAAGAACTGTTCTTTTTATCCTTGTCATTGGCGCGCGAATCGACATGCGCATCCTGATTATTATTTTCAACGTCGTTTCCGCTAACGTAAGAATTGTTCCCGGCTCCAGTTGTCTGTGCTTGATCAATAGCTGCCACCATATCATCAAGCTGCAATCGCTTCAGGACGAGTTTAGCCTGGCGCGAGTACTCTTCTTGAGGGTCATCCGGGAATTTGGTATGTAAAGCGTTCATACTGCCTAATAAGGCACTATTTTGCATAGAGCACTCTACGCAAGTGACAGCGGTGATGGCGTCCTGAACAGTAACGAATTCACGGCACATCAAGCGCGCATGCGCCTGTGCTAGCCTTATAAGGCTTTCCAGTAACCTGATGGTGGTCCGTGCTGCATTGCGAAGGTCTGCCTGCCGCTGACAGTGATAATAACGGCTCAAGATTCTGCAAGCAAATTGAATACACATTTAATAATCCAATCTATTTGAGAGCCTATGTACAGAAAAGGGACGATTCTCAAATAAGAAGCATCCAGTTACCAGGTAAAAACTTTAGTCTGACGAGTTTGTCTCGGTAAAAAACTTGCTGATAGGCATTACCAGTATCACCACAGCACTTTCCAGTTCGAGTTCATAAAAAAAAGAGATTAAGAACCCCATCTTGAACTTGGATTGGACATAAATCAAACTTTTGCTAACTGCCTTTCAGCCTATTGTCTGGGACGGTTGAAATATTTCAATTTGCGGTGAAGGAGAATTCGTTTGTTTCTCTCTCGACTTGGAGTATTGTTACCTCCCCCTTTCCCCGCGAGGTTTGTCGCCCTGGACGCCTCCTGTTATCTATTTGTACGCCTGGGTGGATAGTGGCGATAGTAACACCGTGAGGATGAAGTTTCTTGCCGAAAAACACCAAATAATCGGCCATTTACGACTTCAGGCGCAAAATCGCAAAAACTTTAGGCTCAAAACCTTATGATAATGAGTTGTCCTTGCAAAACAAAAGCTTTGCACTTACCTTCGTTTTCGAAAAAGGCTTTGCGCATACCGGAAAATGCTTAGTACCCGGCCAGGGTTCGACCCTAAATCTCTAAATGCGGAATCCTTTCCCGGTAACAATAGCCCATCGCGTCTCAACGACTTAGATAATTTTGGTGTTATCAGCTGAGTTGATAATGTAAATTGGTCCCCGTAAAGAGTTTCGAAGCTGATATTTCGGGCGTTGGCTCCTCCGCTCGAAATGTCAGCTTTCTTGTTATACTCTCCACCGACGCAGCACCACAGTTTTTCAGAAACTCACCCCCTTTCAACACGACTGAGCCCGGTAAGTAAAGAGTGAAGTTTACACAAGTGCACTTATAACACAGACCTGTTGCTTTCCGGTGTGAGTTGAGGCTTCAGCGTTTTAACGTAACAGAAATAAGCTTGCATCTTTTCCATGCTCCAAAGTGGTTCTGATGAAGAGGCTGTTGTAGAGAGGCCCTTGCCTTCCAAAATGAACGATGATACAATTCTGAAACAAAACAAGAAGTCCTGGTGTAAACTCATTTTCCATAGCAAAAGTCAATCACGCAAAGGGAAACCCTCCAATAAAGGGTTACCCCCAGATTATTTACTAGGTATATGACGCACTATCGACATAGAAATTTTAAACCCCGGCATAATGTATTTCAGAGCGCAATTGCAACGAATGCAAAATTGTACAAAATCAACTGCCGGGACAGCATCTATTTTTAGCATGGAGTTAACCTAGGGATGGTTTAAGTTAAGATAACCCTTGAAAATTTGGACTTTTGGTCTGATTCGCTGATTTGAACTCGAGGCCCAGCTCCTTTAGGACACATGTTCAACCCGAATTTGAATCCTCTTTCAATTCCCTTTGTGAGCATTGCAACAAAGGTTTCTATCGTTATATGACTTTACATTTGAGATTGGAAAACCTTGTGAAAAATGCACGATGTGAGTGCCGCGTTTTCTTAAGTCTTACGCTCGATTTGGAAATTAGTAGTGCGGTTTATTGGTTAAATTAGAGGCTCAATGGTGTGAAATGGAGGATACGATTCCCTTTTTTTTTCACGGAGAAAATTAAATTTTGGTCACTGAAATTGGAAATCACAAACAAAAAAATGGCAATGAGACTAACATAAACTCACCAAATAGGTTAGAAATGAGATTTGGGGAAAATCTGGGTTGGGAAATGGGATTTACAACTCTGATCGCTTCCCTGCCTTTCCGTACCCTCTCAATTACCAGTCATACTCACAACAGCAACAACAAATCTAAATGCCTCTTTACCTATCCCACTCTTCATTTCTTGCATCATGTAAGACCAACAAGAGATCAAATCTGCTCAACAATGGACTGGCCACAGCGATGTTGACACTAAGAGATTCTGACGGATCGTAAGGCCCTTTTGGGTTCGTGGCAGCCAACACTGTTGTTCTTGTGCTCAGTTTGCACACCATTCCGGCTTTTGCCACGCTTATTGTTTGCTGTTCCATGGCTTCATGAATACCTGGAAGACAATCAGTTTATCGCTTGTAATGGGATCAAACAAGACCTTCCAGAGAGAGGGGTGGGAGGGGGGAAGAAACAGTGTGCGGGGTGTTATGAAATCTAAAGACTTAATTTCGCGTTTTTGGCATGAAGGTATTTCGCAGGAATTTATTTTCGCGATTTTACGAGGCAAATATGAAAAAAAGGTGTTCAATTTCGCGATTCAAGCTTTCTCAACCTCATATTTTTCTTCAAAATGTCTTAACCTTTGACGACTGTCCGTAAGATATTCTAAGGAATTTGTTCAAATGAAGGTGAAGATTATAGCTTGATTCTCTACTACATATGTGATATATCTTTGCAAACTATTGATGTTTCACAACAGAAGATACCAAAAAGGAAAGAACTTACAAGTAAGACCAGTTCATAATTTGTGTATTTGTCGATACATATCCTATATATGTTGCTGTTGTTGAACATGATGATCATATTTCTCTGTGATTTGAATTTTCACCGGGGGATCAAATTTCGCGAGGATTTTTTCATTTGCTGGTCTCTAATTTCGCGATGTTTTTACAACTGCGGGAAACGCGACATTAACGATCCGCAAAATTAACTACCAAGTTAATAACACAACTTAAATAATTTAATCTGACTGTGGAAGCATAACAATTTCATTATTTTGAATGTTTCACAGGTATGAATTTGGAATCTCAAGACCAATAAATTTGGTATTGTAACAGGCATATATAAATTACCGGTAAGTTTTAATTTCAGTTAACTAAAAAGGCTATGCCAAATATTCTAACAGCCCACAATGCTTTTCCATGAACAGAACCGCGCCATGTTTATGAAAAATGTAGCCAAACCTCCCCTGTCAGACACCTAAAAAAACTCACTAACAGGGCATAGTTCAAAACTGGACCTCTTGACCTGGAAAAAACCAACTCATTAAGGCAAACACCTATTTTGGTCTTAATAGTATGTGCTCACAGGAAACTTGACAAGAACACTTTTAATAAAGAAAATTATTCCTCACATGTTCTATCATGCTCCTGGATACTGTTAAACTCATCAATACAGCAGAGACCACCATCTGCAAGAACCAGTGCCCCTGCCTCCAGCTGCCATTCTCCTGAGTCCCTTACAGCAGCCACAGTCAGCCCAGCACTTGTTGAGCCGATTCCTGTTGTCAGCACTGAACGAGGCATGATCTTTGCAGCATACTTTAGAAACTGGGACTTCCCTGTACCTTAAAGAAATATGTTAACCATGACAAGTTTTAATGATTTAAAGATGAAACAGTAAATGCCTGAAAAATATATTTGCTCCCAAAAACCAAAATGTGGAAAGCTAGGCCAAATTTCTCATGGCACCATACACTGATAAATTTTCCAAATGACTACGGCATTCCATGTTAAGCAATGAGAACTGTCAATTACCTGGGTCTCCCACCAACAGAAGATGTGACTCCCCTCTAACTCGTGTTCCAGAAGCATCCACTCTCTGAACCCCACCAATCAGAATCAAGGCAACGGCAAGCTTGACGGCATACAAGCCATATACTTGAGGGCAGAAACTTGAGAGGATGTGGTTTCTTCCTTGAAGAGGAGACTGTTTAAATCTTTCCCAAAACTCTGCAAACTCTCGCTTTAGTTCTTCAGTAACTAAAACTGTTGCTTTCTGCTCATTGTTCACAGATACATGATTTGCCTTAAAAACCACCTCAAGATCACATCGGCTCTGAAAGAGTAAATAAAAAAACTCAGTATACGATTAGAATGCTGTAAAGGAAAAGCCTCACCTACGCCAATGAGCCATTTACAAGATACCAAAACCTTCTTCTCTCCCCAACAATGGTGGGTACAAAGCCTTTGATATGAAGATAAGTTTTGCTTCAATGTCTTCATTGAAAAGTTTTTCACTTGGCATACAATAATGTACTTGTACTTATTTTTTTATAACACTTGAGAAGAAATGACTGGCTTCACACAGTTTTTCCATGAATAATCATTCTAAATTGCTTGATTCTTGTTTAATGACTCAATAGATCTTTTTTTCTATAATTCTGCATTGAAAAAGTCAGAAATGCTAACAGCAGAGGAAGAAAAATACTAATCCTCAAAGGAAATTTTGAAATAATGATAACTTTTCATTACATCAGGAAAAACAGGTTTCCATCTTCTCATTACGACACCACACACAGTGATGTCGTCCCCGGCTTTACAGCAATCTACCAAGTCATCTTCTAGAATGACCCACATTGAACGTGGAATGGTACCAACTGCAAGCTTTTGAACTTGTTCTTGTATTTTGATTTCTTGATAATCGCGGCAACTCTTTGGCTCTGATGCTTTGAATACAAGGAAACTCAGGTTAAAAAATATGGCTGTACAATCAATGATTAGAGAAAAAGGAAGCTACTGTTATTACAGACACATCTCAGGCTTTTGTATCTTCAGCTTCAATACCAATCGAACAGATGATTAAGACAGCCAATTCCTCATTTGATTGCATTGTGAATTCAGTGATCAATAAATCATGGTTGGCTGGTCACTGAACCTTCTTACCAAGCCTGATCTTAACACATCAACAGGGAAAGGACAAAACACTCTGTCCAAATCAAAGACAGACATTTTAGACTGAGAATTTGAATGGTTTCTGAGAGGAGCTTGAAAGGCAATTTACATCAGAGACCACAAACTGACCTCAATGTGGTGAGGAGAGACACAATACTAAGATTTCACTGGTTATGTCACATGCCAGGTGACCTAATTGGTTCACTATCAGCAAAACTCTAACAAGGACAAGAGCTAGGAGCTTTCTTTCAATACTGTGCAGCCTGGATAATTTATAAATTTTATCAAAATTGTCCATCCCTGCAAAATTGATCTATCTTGCAAAATAAATTATTTTTCACATGGACAGTATATCTTTTTTTTTGGTGGTTATTTTGAAAAAAGAAGGTCTTTTAAAGTGGTCAGTTCTCTAAAAGCTTGTCAGTCAGTTGATCTGTGACCAAGCAACAATTACTAATCAGCCACATGTTATTTGGTCAAATATCAGTTGGTCAAAGCCTAAATTGCTCACTCAGTCCATTGGTCAGTTGACTTACCTATACACTCTCTTATTCACTTAATCACCCACCCACCCAACCACCTACCCACCTCCCACTTTGTCACTCACTCAAGTGCACACTCAATTGGAAAGTCTCTCAACAACCACTTACCACCATCTGACAGGCAAGAAAATTTGTTGGAATTACATTCCTTGGATGAAGGGCACTTGCTTGGTTTGGGAATTGAGTAAAACTGTTCAAAGTCAGCTTGTACTCCAAAGATGTGTTTACAACGAGCGCAGATGTAGTCTCTCTCATATTCTAGTAGTTTTACAGTTGATACTCGAATGACAGTTCCTGAAATTAAATAATATAAATTGTTACAATTAAAATGGTTAATCCAAGGATTTATGGGTTAAAAGAGTAAAGATTTCTCCTAACCCTTTACACCCTAAGACCAGTAAGTTCTCCATACCATTCTCTATACATTTCCTAAGGTGCTGATATGGAGAAGTTGTTTAACAATCATCACTTCTTTGGTTGATGATCATTTACTTTATTTCCTTACCTTAATGTGTGATTCAGGGTTGAAAATGATTGGAGAAATAAGAAGCCAATCACCCTTAGGGGTTAAAGGGCTAATACACAATTTGGTATGAACTCAGGTGTAAAATTTGATTGTTGTGTAGTCTATAATCATTTACTGGAGGTTGAAGGTGTGAGTAGCTCTGAGAAGGTCTGTTGTCATTTGCTACCACTGAGAACAGTTCTTCTCAAGATTTCTCTCATCTGCGGGATCAGAGATACACTATCAAAGAATTCCTTTTTCACCCCCTCTCTCTATCTGAGGAGATCTTTACCCCTGGACCATAAAGGACACCCCTTGGAGGGTGGGGTGAGAAAAAAAATGCTTACACCTCCAATCAATAAGTCGAAAGTACACCTAGATTGCAGTGGCTTTGACTTCCGTCAACATTTCCGAGGGATTTCAGAGATGTTTCTTAGCCATATATGAAGTAAGAGTTGTAAAAGTTCTAGAAGTTCTCTCCGCAAAAGAACCATCCGTGAGATCACGGGTGGCGATGCTGTGATAGAAGCATCTTCCTTCGTCAACGTTTCTATTTTCAACTCACCTGAAATGGCAAGAAAACGACCGATGTCTGACGTCTTAGGTATCTTGTCTCTTCGAAGTTCCGGACAGACGGGAAGATTGGAAAGCCTCACGTGCAAATGCGCTTTAAACGACATGGAAATTTGAGTTGTACTTTCCTGCATAATCGAAACAGCTGCCTGAGCCAGTGCACCATCAAACAAGGGCAGCATTTTGTTCGGATCTGCCAGAAGCTTTTGACTGACCTCAATGTTAGAATCAAACAGTTCTAATACGTTGACAACAACGCAGTACTGGCTTGACGGGTCGTCAGCCATGAGAACGTTCAGGATATCTTCTTTGTGATGTTCCTCGAGAAACGCTTGGAATATTGCAATATATTCATTTTCCTCACGGCGAACAGCTTGGGACATTTCGCTCCTCTTGTTGGCTAGAGATCACTACGATTTATTCATCAGATCAATGATGATCGATATTACTTCTTCTCATTTCCACACATCTTCCAAAAGTAACAAGTTCCCCGCCAAAACACTCAGAATGCTAATCAACAAGCCCAGTCTCTCACGTGGGTTTGGAACGCCTGGTAATAAAACAAGACCTTCCCGCCATCTTTGAATTGCGGAACTGTGATTGACATCCAAACATGGCATCATTGTCAGTTTTTCCAGCTCCTCCCTCAATGGGCGAAGTAACTTTATGTGAAATGAATGCCAGATTGATAGCTGAGGATTACAGCACTGCAAAGTTGTCAAAATATGTGCCCGCAACTCAGGTACAGTCCGTTTCAAATGACTTATTACCCAGACGAAACTACTATTACTAGCATGATCTTTTTTGAGACCGTAAACCATATCATTATGAAATAGCTGTACATCCAGTGGGGTCAGATTGTACTGATGATATAATAATAGCGCTGATCAGACCACTTTTGTTACATTTGCTCAGAGACGAATTTAAAATTACCCTAGACACAATAGACAAAGGCTTGTTTGGGACCAGATAGTTTATTAAATGCATATTTCTTACGTACATAAAACACAAGACTATTAAATCAAAGTTATTCGACGGATACACGAAAACAACGGTCTAGTAATCGGGAATAAGTTTCAAAAACTAATGAAATATAGAAATAATCCAAATTGTCTATGGTGTGGGAGGGGGGAGGGGGGAACAAAACTTTCTTAGAAGCTACAAATAAACTTTTTGATTGCATGCTTGATTGCTAATAAGAAGTGCACAGACACATATAAAAACGGTAATATATTAAAGTAATTTTGCAATTAAAATGGGCCAGCGTGGTGCATAGCCATTGACTCTTTCCAGTTTTTTTGATTTTCATGCTGAAAAAATTGCTCAATCCTAAGGAAAGGACTAATATGTAACCTGCCTGTGCCCAGTCTAAACCTCTCAGTTGTCAATGTCTAGATTCTTATTAATAGACATTAGCATTCACCACAGCATGTATCAGTTTTGATCAAAGTATAAAGTATTTTTGTAACTGTACATTATTTTTAGAATAAAAGAGATTTTGTACAGCTGATCTTTGCAAACATCATTTTAGAGGGCATTTAAGTTGGGAATTCTCTTTAAAATTGAGCACCCCAAAGGCACACAGGTTTAAAGCCTGGTCAAGGTGTAGAAAGCAAAGGTGGCTGATTTTTCTTTTCACAGGAAAAATTGAGCCATCAAATCTAGCGCTTGGGTAGGACATTTGAACACAATTTTGGCCCCAGGGGATGGGGAATTTGAACAACTTCAAATGCATGAGATGGGTAGGTTGCCTGGAGGGGAATCAATGTTGAAGATTTGATTTGATTAATGCAACAGTTCTATACTAATCTAATCATTTAGGATCTTAAGGTTAAAATTCTTGAAATTTTTGAAACCCTTATGATTCCAATGGAAAGATAGGAATAATAGTTTTTGTGTTTCATCAGGGGATCAAGTATCCTTCAATTGATGTAAACAAAGAGAGTGCAAAGACAGGAAATAACTTGTCCAGCTCTATAGATCCAGATTGGGGGTCATTAGTGAAGAAAGAAAAAAGTATTTATAACAAGCTTCTTAAGGTTTGGTAAGTACAAGCAAGATATTTGTATAAATTTTTTCCAGCACATCACCAAATAAAACATTTACATATGGCAAAAACATCCTGATATATACGTCCTTTAGCATTAACTTTTCCATGAAGGCGAAAGTTTTCCTCAAGTTTCATTTTCAGAAAAATGTTTGTTTCCAGATGGCCATTGCTAGGCATCCTTTACTACTGTGGCAGGGTTTTGTGATTCTGTTTTGTTGTTCATATCAAATTGTTTCAAAGATCATGGATTGCAATCTGTTTTAATCTATTAACAGTAATCATTACTCCATGATTAGCATTATACATAACGATCCCATTCTCCATGATGGTAAAATGGTTTCATGCTCATTGATCCCATGTTGCGTAGGAAACCATGACGTGAAGCGGAGTGGTTTCCAGCTTATCAAGTGTTCTCCCAACCTCCCAAGTGTTTAACATGATAATGTCCATAAAAGACATACATCCAAGCATGTAAAATGGTTTTTGACCAATGCCATTATTTTGATATAAGACAGTTACCTAAATATGTTTCATATTTTGCTGCCATTATTTGACAGTTACCTAATATGAACCTATGAATATATACTGTACTTTGATTTGGGCTCAGTAGGCACATGAAATTGAAACCTAAAGAACTATTTCCCTTCCAAGTGTTGTAGGGATTGGTATTAATTCATGGAATTTTATGTAATTTTATTATCTAGGCATTCCAAAGGAATATCTGAAATGCTACAAGAGGTCAAGAAAAGCAGGGATGAAGGTACAATGTACAATCAATGAATGTTCAGAATGAAAAAGGGAGGTTTTTTTGTAATAATAAGTGTTTCAGTCCTCAAAGTGAGTTAGTTTGGCAAATTGTATCATTACTTATGGATGTTCAGTTCTGTCAGAACATAATTATTAAAGATGTAGACTGAAAACCACTTTTAAACTCTTTATGGTGGCCAGTTTACATTATCAACCCAGTTGATAATACCTTATTACCTACATTTGCCTTTGTTTGGCTTACTTTTTCGCTATATGAAGAATAAGAATGGCTGATAATCAGCAAATCTATTCCCTCATGCAAGGAGGCAACCATGGTCTCCAAGTCCATTAATAACAAATTGTTCTGACTACAGCTATCTAATTTAAATGTTTCAGCAAGGTTGTCAAAAATATTTTGAGTAACTGAACTACTGAAAATTTAAGCTACAAGCATTTGGAATAGCCAGCTTGTTTTTCAGAGAAGACAGTAAATTGTGCCAGTTACCTGCTTACATTGACAGCCTTATTAAGTAACTAATTAATCTTCAAAATTTATGATGAAAATTTACTTGGCAATGAATTTTTTTCCTTGACAAAGTTCCGTCATGGTTTTGGCATATAAGCAATGGAACAGACACTGTGGTAAGATGGTTCTTATCGCTGTATGGCTACATTTTCCCTCATTTAAAGGTAAGTTTTCAAGAAACCTTTAAAAAATGTGTTTAGGAAGAGCATGGTTGGTATTAGAAAATGTAATAGATGTATGATCTGAACTGAGTCAGTGGCTGAGTTGTAACAAGCATGGCATTTTGAAAAGCAAAATGTTCTTCTTGGGAGGTCTAGGATATGCTCCTTTGGAAAAATTTGAGGTTTGCTGAGAGGAGATTTCCAGGATTCTGGGACATATTTGAGTATCTTTTTTTTTCGGCCAGTCATTTATGTTAGAATCAGTTGAAATATACTTTAGCTAATATTTTCTGCATTTGATCACATTTCATAAAGCAGTTGGCACTAACATTTTTTAAGAGCTGACTGGTTTTTGCCACCTACTGTCTTTTAATGACAACCCTGGGAGAGTGTCTATTTGTGAAACCTATTATTTATTAAAAATTTAGCTTATATAAATACTACAAATTTGAACTTTTTTTGGTCAAGTTAAAGGCCTGCAGTGCTGTAGATGTATATGTTTTCACAGTTAAATACCATGTAATTTACAGAGAAACATGTTTTCTGTATTGTTATGAGTGTGGGACAAAAAGAAAAAAAAGTTCCCATGAGGAATTGAACCTTAGACCTTTGGACACTCTGATGCTCTACCAGTGAGCCACAGCGACTCTATTGTGAGCAAGGTCTATTACTAACTTTATATTTGACATGCATCCTTCATACTGCTAGGATCAGCCATGTCGATATCATTATGTTTTTTAAATAGAATAAGGAAGATGGTAAGGTCTACGCTTAGTAAAGAGATAAAGAAAGATGTTTTTTGTCTTACCATGGTCTTTCTCTATTTCTGTAATGTAAGTCTATTTATAAAATTTACTTTTTTAAATCTTCTCTTTTGGCTTTCAGTTATCCAGAGAGGAAATGATTGATGCCTTTTCATGTGTGTCTTCTTGGTAATACTTTAGATTCACAAAAGTAGAATTAGTTTGAAAATGTGTTTTAGGTTAAATGAAATATGGGTCAGAGTGATTTTTAAACCAGTATGATTTGTAACTTTTCTTTTTTATTTTGACAAAAATTATATATAACAGTTAGTATGAACCATACGGAAATAATTTTTTTATTAAATAATTAAAAATTTAGACCTGCTAGTGAATTATTTTATATGCAACTCACTTACTTTTTGCTTAATCATAGTTTTTATTACATTCATTTTGAAATCGCAGGAGATCCTTGCACTCTGATTGGCTCCCATGAGTGCAATTTAATAGCTTTCCCATAAGTCACACAATTTTTGCTTGAAATTGCATCTTTTCTCCAGCCAATGGGAAAGTTTTACTTTAACACAACAACCAATCATATTTCAAGGCTTGTTTTAAGGAATCAATCAAAATGCAGGAAAATAACAGACAGCTTTAAATTTTCAACTATTTACTTGATACTGGGTCAGTTAAATATTTGTACAGACTAAAAAAAACTGTATTTGAGCGAGTGAATGTTGCAATTTCATAATGGATGTAATAAAGTGATAATTGAACTTTGTGTTGTGTAATTTTGGGCTGAAATCAGACTTATGATTTCAAATCAAACTTGTGCTGCATATTCATTCAGTTTTGAAATTGTGAGTATGATTTCAAATTGCACTCCACTCAGTTCAATCATCATTGTGCAATATGTGCTTTTTCAGGTGTAGAGTTAAATTATTTCATTGAAATCTATTTATTTACATTATGAATGGTTTTAATGAAAGAAGATCTCGCTTCAGTTGATTAATAAATGTAACTGATAAATTTAAAAGCAGATGAAATATTGTAGATTATAATATGAGTTACACTCTTGATTTTACAGGAAAAACTCTCACATCAGGGCATTTGCATGGCACCCTCATGTTGCTAAATTTGTGGTGGCATGGCAGGTTTGTTTGAAATGATATAAAAGTGTATAAATTTTTGAAATAAAGTTTAGTGGGAGTGATTGAACAATCAACAGGGCAGGGGAGGGGGGAGGGGGAAGAGGAGGGGAGAGGTGAGAGAGAAGGGTAGGTGTCAGTACAGGAAGCTTCTACATAGGTCTTGGAGCATGTTGCAGTTTCCCATGATTTTCATGGGGATGTGCCTTACGATGTCTACCACCGTAGCCCCCTTCCCATCCCCACTATAACTTGTTAAATTTATTATTAAATCACTTGTCGAGCCCCACTCTTGCTGTTATTGAAAAACTATAGCCTGCCAAAGGAAGGCTGCCTCGATCACTTTATTGTCAATTGCATCAGAGTCCTATATCTTTGTATAGCATGGCATACAAATTGGTGTCTTTTTTCAATTTTTTTAACTAGTTTTTCCTAAAGGTGTCAGTGTATGTTTAACACCTTTATTTCTCATCAGTCTCCTGTTCCTTTTAATCTGCTTGGTTGCGGCATTGAACTTATCAAGTACTCTTTGATACTTTTTCAGGATGATTCAGTTAGGGTCTATACATTGTCAAGGTGGGATATTTTATGTTACTGAATAATAAGTAGTGGAAGTAGAGGTAGGGCTGAATCAGAAGTAATCCACTCAGAACAACATATTAATTAATTCAAAGAAAATCTTGTGCTTCACATGTGTAAAGACATTTACATTGCCTTGATATTTTATATATGATGGTAGTACAGATTGAATGAGATGGCACAGTGGTGTGAGTGCTCATTACCTATAGGTGTGGCCTGGGTTTGTTTCCCAGACCTGGTTTAACATGTGGGCTAAGTTATGTAATTTATGAAGAATCTTCATTTGCAAGAATATCCAATTTAAAATAATTAGCTTATCTCCTTACCTAAAAGGTGACATTTGAATTAAATGCAGAGTGTGTTCATGCAAGAAAACATGATAGCTTGTGAATGTACATATTTGGTTTTTAATAATTTTATCGATGGTAAGATAAAAAATTGTTTTTTGTTTTAATTTTTTTAGTGACTTGGTTCCTATACTAGAGCACAAACAACAGAAAGCTGTTAGTTGCCTGGCTTGGAGGTAGGGCTGATGATTTTGAAATGCTCTAGTAATTATCATGTTGAAGTTTCCTTTAACCTTTTAACTACTGAAGAATTTAATATCTACGCACAATACCACCCAAATCACACATTAAGGTCATGAGCATAAAGGAAATGATCACCAACTAAAGAAGCTTTTGATTGTAAAACAAATTCTCCTTGTTAGCACCTTAGGAATTGTATGGAGAACAATATGGAGAAAATGTATAATGGTGTAAGGGTTTAATGGGTTAGATTTTGAAGTGCAATACAGATACACTGTATGTGTGGTGAATTTTTTTCTAATTATTGTTTCCATGTATTTTATTCTTAAATTATTGTTTTTAAAATTTAGACCTCTGTCAGGATCTGTATTAGTGGTTGGCTGTGACTGTGGTTTGTTTGTCTGGACTGTTAATCCATCATCACCCATTCTAAGGTATGTATTACTTTTTTTTTTTTTTTTTTTCGTGATAGTGACCAAGACCTAATTTCTCCTTACAATATTAGTACAATATCAAGTAGGCAAGCTATGAGAATATAGAAAATTATCATTTGGGAGATTATTAGTTGCCCCAATACCAAATTCTCAGCACTAACATCATAAGTATTGTGTAGCAGATAGTAAGAAGAATTATAAATGAGATCTTAGGAGTGGGGGGGGGGGGGTTAATCGCACCCCTTCCACTTGGAGGGGGCACATTTATTGTGTCTTTCTTGATTTGTTTGTGAGCATAGTTGGTAATGAATTGTAGGAAAAATGTTTCACCTGGCAAAGTAATAAATCTGATGTCTTTTTCTCTGTGCAGACTTGGAGGTAGCTCTGTGCGTCATCTGTCCTATCCAGGTCATAGCCCAGTAACAACTGTCTCATGGAGTCCCAGTGGACAGTTGTTGGTGTCTGGTTCACCAGCAGACAGCAATTTAATGGTACCTAATGGCTGAAATGTCTTCTTAGGAACATTTTAAATTAGGAAGAGAGCAACATGGTAGATGATGGTTGCCATGTTGTGTTCCTTAATTAGATTGTCGATTGGAGAAGTCTGATGATAATTTTTTTCAAGAGTTGCCAAATTTATAACTTACAGAAAACAGTTGATCCCTGTAGAACACAACTGTAGAGGGTAATATTAGAAGGGTTTCAATTTATGGATTGTTTCTGCATCTTGCAAAAGTCAACTCTTCAAGTTTGTCAAAACTTCATGACATTAATGTTTCTGTAATTTATTTCTCTTGTAAAAATTTCTAGGTGTGGGATGTGGCTCTGGAGACAGCCACACCCTTATATAGAGCAGGAGGTGGTGTAACACTCACATCCTGGTCACCAGATGAGAGGAATGTATTAAGTGCCACACCCTCTAGCTTGTTCAGGTTGGGCTCATTTCAAAAATATTACAAATAAAAGTTGACATGTCTGGTCATCTTGGGCAAATTGTTATAGCTGTCAAAGCAACTAACTAATTCAATACAGTTATTCACAGATTAATGTCCCTGCTTGAGTGTGGTAACAGTATTTTCTGGCAGCTGTAGTCAACAATATGATGGCTCATTTATGTAGAACAATCCCTAGGAAAAGGGAATTACAGATAAAGTCGTATGTCAGTAACACAAAGGGCATCATCAGTCAAAACCTCTGATCCTAAAACATGTTTGGGAGACCTTATGAGACCGATTCTTCTAGAAAACTCTTTCAAATTCAATGACAAACACTATCTACAAACACTCTGAATAGCTATGGGAAAAAATAGCGTTCTGTACGATCACTTAGCTTCGAAGTATGAAATTGACTGCTTTTGATTAGCACAAGTTTCTGGGAGTTGTGAGAACTGATTTTCAATCAAGACATGTAAGTGTTGATAGCAGTTTTCCTACCAACAGAGTTTGGGAGACTCAGACTTGGACATGTGAAAAGTGGTCCAATTTGGCAGGGGCCTGTCAGGTAAATATATTAAACCTGTAGGCTTGCTCTTCCTTTTTTTAGTATGAAAGGTAAAATAAATTTTCAAACCAGTAAAGTACTTCTTTGATCTGCTGAATATTCAAGAATTCCAAGCAATTTTAGGCAGTTTTAAGAGGTACTACTGGCAGTAAAGTTTACTGGCTACTGTCTGAGGAGGAGAGCACTGTGTAGAAAAATTGAATTTTTTTACAATTAATTCAAGCTCTTTCCAATTAAGGATCTCCTGAGCTTTAACAAGAAAGGAATAGCATCTTTGAAAATTGAGATACATGCAAGACATAAAAATTTGCACCTAGTTTTTGAGAGTGTTGGCTAGTTCTCTTAACTAATCATCAAGAAAAGTGAATTAAATTTTAAACCAAATGAATGCAATCTGAATTATTTCTGACACTAATTTGGAAATCTATCCAGCCTTAGTGGACACTGTTGAGTGACAAATCACTGTCAATTGATTAGAAGAATTTGCTTTTTATGTATACGGGTTTCAATTTAGAAATTGGTAGAACAGTTGCTGGTGTGGAATGTTTATGGAAGTAAACATATTGATGGTGTGGATGATCTTTACTTTACATTAGGCAGCCTGTTGGAGTCCTGATGGCAAGATTCTTGTGTTTGCTGTAGCAGATGAACCTGCTCTCTATTCACTCCAGTTTCAGAATGTTGGTAAGTGAATGGCCTCTCCTCGTGAAACAATTTGAATGCTCTTTATGTTGCCACTGTAATCGTGAGTCAGGAAATAAGAATTCTGAAGAAATTATTTGTCCTTGAGCTTAGGAGTACTCCTTTACCGTTTTTTTTGTTAACCAGGTCGAAATATTAATTATTGCGAATTAACGGGCCAAAATTTTCTTCACTTGCCATTGGAAGCTTGTAGGGTTAGTTATTAGCTAGTGGTTTGCTTGTATGGTATGATCTCAGTTCAATGCAATTGGTCTTTGATCTTCTTATTTCGAAAGTAAAAGTCTGTAAATTAAAGACTGTGCGTGACATTTTGCTTGATCAATACCTTTGTTAACCCTTAAAATCTCAGAAGTGATTGACATGTAATTCTCAATATAATATCCATACATTATCCAGCAAATAGGTAATGAGAATACTTAAATTTATCAGGTGAAAGTCGTCATCTTGATCTAACACCAAATTCTTGTAACTCATTACTAAGGAAATGTGCAGCATCTAGAAGAGAATTAATTATCAGATCTTTGGAGTGATAGAGTAAAAAAAAAAACAAAGTAACAATTACTTATGACAAAAAATAAAAAGAAATTTTCGATATCTGTTTTAGACGAAGGGCGCCGTAATGCAACGGTGGCAAAAGGTGCGCGTCTGGCTGTGAGGTGTGCTGATTTAATGCCGCATACCTGGGAGGATACTGATGGGTCAGTAACTTTGGGTGGATGTGTGCGCTCCATGGCTTGGGACCCATTTGGTGAAAGACTGGCTGTTATATTTAAAGGTATACAGGTGTCTCAAGAAAGGTTGTCGCAAAAAAACGTAAAAGTACACGTGACAACCCGAAAGGTATTGTGGGTCGTTTTCAGGTCACGGTTTCTTGACCTCAGGATGGTAGAAACATCAGTGTAAGGACGAGGCATAGCGGGTTCGATGAATTTATCTGTTTATTTGACTTATTGAAATGCATCGATTACCAGATACCCAGGTTACGTTTTGAGATTGTTCGCGTTCACTTTTGTCCATTTTCCGACAGCCTTCCGCGAAACAGCTGTATTTGCAAAGTTAGATTTCAAATGAGAGTCATTTTCATTGGTAAACCATCAACCTCTGAATGGACATTCCTTTCTCTTCCCGAGGCGTCCTCATGTGAAAGCTTTCACTTAATGTATGGTGTATTCATAACAAAATAAAAGATATTCTCACAGCCAAAGACGACACACAGCTACACAGATCATACATTTTATGAATCTGTAGACAAGTTTTGTTTGAATGCTGATTTGCTTTTTAGGACACCTGTAACTTAGCTACGTCACCTCATGTTTCAATGGGTAATTGTTATCGGTGGAAATTTTTGTTCCTTGACAGATGAGAAAAAACATGCTCAAGAACTAGTTGCTGTGTTCAAAACCAGATTGAAACCATCATTTGAAATCATGCCATGGTAAGTAATAATCTCGGAAACTTGTATCTGTGTACATGTAGGCGTGTCCATTCATCTGCTCTTACAGGTGAAACGTGGTCAAGCCTCCTTTGTAAAAGAATAATTGAACCGAATTATTCCAATACTTGTGTTGATAACGTAAATTAGCCACCGTAAACAGTTTCTAACCCGACGTTTCATGCGTTAGCATTTCGTCAGAGCAGATGAACGAAGAAACACTTCACAGTGGCCAATTTACATTTTCAACTCAGGTTATAAAACCAAATTGTTTTGTTATACTCCTTCACCGACGCAGCATCACAGTTTCTTTAGAAACTTACCACCTTTATTCCAATACTTACCTTATTGAAAAAAAAGATTTTATGAATTTAGAAACCAACATCTGAACCTTTGAGATTGGAAATAACTGAATTTTGCGGTGAGGAATTTTGTTGAATTGAAATATCAAAGGATGTAGTTATTTGTGGATGTCTTTGTAGCCATGTGAGTTAGTCAGGAAATTTTTAGTAGGTTAGTACATTCAATATTCTTTAGAACTGTTTGAAAATAACTTTCCACAGTTTCAACTGACTTTGACTTCCCTAATCAATTCTCTGTGTTCCTGTTTCGACTCTGATGGTGACTTCTGCCAAGGTTTTCAAAATATCAGTAATCAGTACCGATCATAGTGCTTCTGCGGGCTACTCTCGCTAGGACGATTAGGCTATAACTTTTTCCTGTTTTTATTGCAGTGGCTTTGTAAGGGGACCTCCTGAAACAGTTCCACAAATTGTTACTTTTCAACAAGACTTCAAGAAAGGAGCACTTCTGACTGTTGTAAGTCGAGATTGTGGATGAAAATTTTGCAAGTTTAAAAAGTGTGTAGGGTATGAGACTGGCTCAAACATTTATCTGAATTCATGTTAGAGAGCATTCCCTAGTTTTGTTGGCATGAAGGAACCACAGATGTTGCTACTTCTGTAGCACTGGCTACTAGAATCAGATTCAATGCATTGGTGGAGAGAACCTCTTTGAGATTAAGGTTAAGTCTATGAATGGCTCCAAACTGAACTAAATATAAAGGCTCTGAATTCAGAGTTTTCCGGCGTGCGAAAACTGTGTAACGATTGACGGACATCGGGAACGGCTTAACCACCAGTTTTTACCGCAAATGCTTTGCCCATTGGAAAAAAATGATCATTTCAAAACAGGAAAAACAATCGGCTAACTCGTACCTACCAATTACACAAACGCGTCTTAGAATAGACGCATAGGCTCGTTTGTCTCAGTATGCGTATGGCCTTATACGCGTACTAAGCGCGTAAAACGCGCAAAGTACCCTACATCTCTAAGCTACACTGTAGTCGGAAAGACATGATTATAACGCTTGAAAAGGTTCACTGTAGTGCCATTGGACATTTGCGAAATTTACGAAATTGTATTTTGTAGATTTAGACGTTATGTGTATCAATAATTTTTGGTCTGTTTGTTTTTGCAGTGTTGGTCAGATGGAAGTGTATCATTTATTCCTTTACTGTTTTCTCCATCTTCTTCCGTTGGTTCCTTCCAAAATGGAGCGTTGAAGTCACAGTGATCGATCAAATGAGCTTGTAAATAAGACTATTTTTGTCATTATAGTATTGATAACGGACTCTGTAGGAGGAACACTTTCTATTCTCAATGTTATAACAGATTTAGATTTCACGTGTGGTATCACGTGATTTTTTATGTAAACAAACCCCGAAAGTTCGGACATTGAGTCGAGCTCGCAGCATATGTGTCCAAACTTCGGCTTTGGAAATTTTTCTTAAATAACTTCCCACTTTCAAGAAGCGTTGAGGTATCGTGAATCGTTTTTAAGGTGCCATAAGCTCATCTCTTTGTCGTAACCATTATGTTTAGGTATACACTTACTAAACAACTGCAATCGTACACGTTTGTAGAGTTGAAATCGGTTTTATTTTTGGGAATCAAGGCTTCCTCACGTTCTACAGCGAGCTCGACTCGATGTCCGAACTTTCGGGGTTTGTTTACATCAAAAATCACGTGATACTACACGTGAAATCTAAAGCCCAAAAGGTGAATTGGAATTAAGTTAAAATACCAAATGATTATTTCTTAAAAAAAGAACTTGTGATGATTCTTTGGTTTCTTAACCAACATTTAATTTCTCGTTACAGTAATACTGCTAAATCACTCATTAAGATCAAGTGGTTATAGGAAATGATCGCCAATCCCAATGAGGTTTACCTTTAGCTGTAAAACGGCCAACCTATTTAGCCGTTAGGCTCGCAAATTGACAAAATTTAACCGCCAGTCGTAAAAAAAGTCAACTGTAAACTTTTTTCTCTTAACCAAAAAACCGATAGCCGTAAAATGGCCAAAATTTTAATCGTCAATAGTACAAGCTATCTAAGACCCTCTACCAAAGGAAATGCTTGGAGATAATATAGATACTGGTCAGCGGTTAGGGTGTAAAGGATTAAGCCCCTACCACAGAAAGCAACAGGATCAATGGGGAGATTAAATTGTCTAGCTACTGGCTAGACACTTTAATCTCCCCAATCATTCTAGGCAGCGTGTTGCAGTTTGCGGCCTTTCCTTACATCTAGGCAGTTTGGAAAGCCACAAAACTCTAGAACAAAAATTTCTCTCTCTAATCGGCACTGTTAATCCTCACTGTATTACGAACGCTTTTCATTCACCTAATGTATTCGTGTTTTTCTCGTTGCCGTCTTCCCACCCATTCTGCAAATAAACACACACAACCTACAATTCTTCAATTCTCTCTCTGTCGAGGGGCTAACGCCCAAAACGTCAGCTTTAAAAACTCTTTGCAGAGGCCAATTTACATCATCAACTCAGTTGAAAAAACCAAATTATTTTGTCATACTCCCTCACCGACGCAGCACCAGTTTCTTTAGAAACTTACCCCATTCATTTGTTTTCGGATGGCTCCGTTTGCGTAAGCGTCTTAGTGTGTTTGGTTGGCAGAAACACCTGGCGTGGACTGAGTTTGTTTCGTCGCAATGCCCTGATGGAGGGTGGGGAGGATCAGATATCCAGCGAGACTATCCCGAGGGCCGATATCTCCTCCGTATATCCCGTATCCCGCTTATAATTCTCTGAAAGACCCCGTATCTCGTAAACCGTGAAGCAGATGGACATAGACTACCCAAGTTATCTTGGTCTCATTTTATTCTGTGGTGTAACAAAGATTTATGCCGCACTATTCAGAGATCACAAATAAATGAATGGATTACCGACATAATTTAACTAGGTCCTTAGGAAAGAACAGTACGTGCCAATTTCCGAGAGCCGATATTAGCAATTAGCAATAACAAGTGTCGTTTTCACACCATCATGAAATTTTCCTGATTCTTGTTCCGTCGCAGTATCTCCCATGATGTCTGGGAAAGACTGTCTTAGCATCACGCGGAGCTCAGAGGATTTCTTTAAAATTTATTGTGATGTAATTTAGACTGATAATGTGATTTTTATCTAGCATGAGAACACAAATGCAACGGACACTTAGATACAACACACTAATCTGACAGTGAGACGAGTCATGCCGAAATATGGTTTATAAATATATTATTTTGAATTCAAAATTTATTTAAAATCATAAAAAAAGACAGTGACAGCTTTTGTGCTTTTCACACAATATTTTTCCATTTTACATTGCACCCAAACGAATATTTAATTAATGTGTCTGGTTCACCCATACGAGCCTAGTAAATGCATTTGAACAAATAACATGTAAATACCTCAAGATGTCTTAACTCCATTTGATACCAGTTTTCATGAACTTCGTTTGTTGTTCTTCGAAAACGAACATCTGTTAATCGTGCGCCACAGGGCAAACGGCAAAGGAAATATTGTTATGCTAATGATTTGTCACGAAATCGCATGGGAAACACACGTTCATCAGTGCTTGTAATCTTCCTTTGCTCAAGGTAAAAATTGTTTCTAGCATTCCACGAGAATTTTTCAGAAATCGAGAAAATCCAAAAATAAAATTGAGTTAGAGTGACTCGATAAAAAGTTGACCTCAAACCGGTGAATAGACCTCAAGATCTGGTTACTGTGTTTGGTATTTTCATTCATAATTTTATAGTAAATAACGTTACGCTTTTTTTGCAAGTCTTTCCTTTTGTTCGCTGTTAGAATTTACTGCTCTATTCCGATGATTCTTAGCTGAAGATTGCTTGATCTTTTTTGCTAAGCGACTCTTTGTTCTTTGGGTATTCACTGAAGGCTTTAGAAATAAAGTGTTCATTTCGATAGCCGCGAGTGTTCCGATGATCGGTCCGAGCCAAAACACGAACAGATGCTCGGTAATAACCTCTTTTCTCGAACAATAAACGAACGTTTGGGCCGTAGCCAGCGCAGGATTCATCCACGTTCCAGTAGTTTCGGAAAGAAAAATGCTGAGAAGGACACAGACCGCCGATCGAATCACTGGGTTGAACCTTCTTAATGTGCCACGTGACAAGAAGTCGCTCGTGGTGGACACGAAAGTGGCCAAGATTTCGATCGAAAATCCATACAACAGGGAAACGTCGAGCGTAGATCGAAGGCCTTTCTTGACTTGCTGATAATGTAGTTCACTCCATGTCGACAGCCATAGCATCTGAATGAACGGAAAACTCAAAAGCGCACCTAAAACTTGGAAGACGATTTTCGCTACATTATCCGTGAGCCATCCCTGATCGTAAACTAGATCCTCTAAAAGCCCACAAGGATTCGCCAAGGCTCCTTCAAAAACAAACCCAAAATTCTTTACAGTAAGCAGAACAAAAGAACACCACAGCGCAATCCAAGGATTGTAGAATCTTCCGATGACGGAAATCTCAAAGACGCAAACTGACAACTGGAAAGTAGAGATCAGTTCATTGGCGTATGGGTAGTACACTTTGGGAAGGACTCGTCGGAGGGCAAGGCGAACGATTTCACCGATAAAATACCCGGCAAAAATAGCTGCTAATGACCACAGAAATCCCATGACTTCGTCAAAACGGTAGCCGCAGGTAACAAACAGTGTTCAAACACAAGGGTCACCTCGTAAATAATTAGTTACGGTTAATTAAATATTTATCACAAGAGGCCTGATCTCTCGCCTTTGTTTGTGGTGAGCTCAATGATTTGCTGAGTGCAAAACCGGAACTAAAATAACCACCAGATTACGTCCCTCCCCTCCCCACTAAGTAGTGATCATGAATGACGGAAGAGGCTAACGAATATTAATAAAAAGACTTCTCACACTTATAACCTTTCTCGTCTCTTAGACAAATCTATTTTCAAGAACGACCTAAAGAAAAAAAAAATTAACATTTTATCAAACTGGAGTCAGTGTCAACAAAGAGCAAACAAGCTTGGAAATTTTACATCTATGTGTAAATTAATGTTCTTTAAATTGACCAGCCATGCGATGTTCGATACTCTGATTAATGAATCGTATGAGAAATCAAGTCATTCCTTAGCACAAGCATAACAAAGAATGGATTTGTGACCAATCGCAGAATTGTACAACAATCAAAAGGATGTGTCACACAATCTTTGGGGTTGTGTGACATGACAGTCAACAGACCTGTCACATAATCTCAAAGGTAGAAGAATCATCCAAACATTTGACATGTCACCATAGGCATTACAAGGTGTTGCCTAAAATATTTTCTAAATAAAAAATTACACACAAAGAATGCAATACAATTAAAATAATAGACTTCTAATGTATATCTTTAATTTAACTAACTTTAAAGTTAGGAAAAAAGTTTACATTTTAATCAGAAGGTAAAATTAAAAGAACCCAGCAAAAAAGCAAGACTCATTGGAGTGGGCAGACTATCCAAAAAGTCACACTTTCTCAGGGAAACCTAGTCTACAATGACAAAGCCACCCAGGCTCCTTACTTCTGTAAAATTCACACCCTACCTTTACTGTGACTTAGAATATTCACTTTGGAAAGTTTTAGGTAACAACTCAGTGTTATCATGATACCATTTGTGATCATTTGTGATCATTAGTGAACATTAATAAAAATTTTTATAACTGAAATTAATTCCTGCACAACATCAGAATATTATTTTTAAATATTTATAGATGTTCCCAATAAAAACAAAACAAAACAAAATAAAACAAAACAAAACAGAAAACTGAACAATACCAGAATGTGCCTTAGGTCGTAAAAAGAAGTACTTGATTAATTGCATTGATCTAGACACTTTTTCTTTTTCTAGAGGCCATAGGTCCAAAGTTTGTTCATCCATGGATGTCATGAAATTTATTTTTAAGCTTTTCCCTTGCAATTTGCATATCCAGTAATCACTCATTGTGTGCTAGAGTCTTCTTCATCTGTAGGAGAACAAAAATGCAACTGAATAAAATTTGTTGAGTGGTAACTATAACCTGCATTACACCTTAGTCAACAATGTTTCAACAATCTGGATTAAGGCCAAAAAAAGAATGACTAAATTTTAAGCTTATCTAGTGACCAACAATTTCAATTTCTGGTCCAAAAACAACTTTTGAGAACAATGTGAACTGCTTGAAAAACTTGCTCATGCAAGCATTCTTGAAAAAACCTGTCACTATAGGTTCCTTCAAATTAAAGTTATGCCTATCAAAAATATGAAAGACATTTCTTTTTTTCAAATTAGCATAAAATAAAAAAAAGACGTGGTAGTTTGCAAATAATTCAAATCACTCCTTT